GGCTATAATACACCAGAATCAAAGCCTCTATGAGTCTCAGAGACCGCAAAATAGGCAAGATTGGTTGGTGGCCATTTTGAATTTAAGATGGGCGCCTTAACCAAACTCATGTTGTTTTGAATGTTCTTATTGTGTTCATTGACCCCAAAACATGGCTATTTCAAACCTCTATGAGTGTCAGAGATCGATGTATGGGCAAAGGCAATCTCCGTTGGCGGCGGCACTCTGATATTCAAGATGGTGCCTTTATGAAATTCAACATGGCTGGGCCAATGAACCAACTTAGGCCTGTACGGTTCCTTGACCCTAAAGCCTCTTTGAGTCTGCTGATGCCGAAATATGGGCAAAAGCAATCTCGCTTGGCGGCCATTCTTGGGGGGGGGAATAATGGCGGAAACGCAAAGAGCATTCCAACATCGAATATCAACCAGACGGGACTTCTAAAAGAAAATATATCACTCGTGGCTGTCCTGGTTGTGGTGCAGCATATAGTATTGATGCGTAGTGCCTGGTACCATACTGGCATTTTTAAACCTCTATTTCGGCGACTTTGCCTTCTCGCAGAACCTTTACTTCTCCGAATTTAGGACAGTCCTTTCTTCTGATTATTATCAACGCCGAAACCCAAACACAGATCCCTGCACCATTTCTCTCCGGGCAAAGACGTCAAAAAACTGTGTCCCATTGGAGTTAATATGAGGAGCTCTTATTGATGCAATTTGATGTCGGAGTTTCAAACGTTTCTAAACTGTTGATTTCTTCACCTGATAGCTTAATGCCAGGAGCTGAAAAGGGTTGGGTCAATATGTTCAAAGGACTCGACACAATACCCTCCCAACGTTAACAACGAGGGCGCTGTTGTTAATCAGCGGGAGTGGGATCACCTCGTTCATGCATAAAGGACTAAAAACATTCAGTCCTTGGTCGTAATAGTCTTTATTAATACGTGTAACGCATACAAAGCTAGGCTGTCGCTTCATGCTGTTTAATTTGTGATGCGATGAATAGTTGAAAGTGACGTGTAAACATGTTTTTCGTGATTTTGACCTAAATGCAAACTATTTTGAAGGTGAGGCAAACACTGCACTCGTCGACAAATCGTCTGGCAACATTGTTCACATGAGTCAAGTGTTTTAATAAATTCATAAGCGAGACAACGGAAAAGATTTCCATCCCGTGAAGGAAATCCTTGTTTGTTTTACGCAGTGGCGTAGCCACCGAGGGGGGGCGTGGGGGGGGGGCGACCGCCCCCCCCCATGAAACCTTGTCGCCCCCCCCCGTCCCCCCCCCCCCCCCCCCCCCCACTGAGATTTTGAGTTTCTAAAAAAATTATCATTGATCTACATGACGCCATGGGCCCTATTATGTACTACAATGTATCTTTTGCTTAGAAAATATTGGTAAAAGTGGTCAGAAATTGCCTCAGATAGCACCAAAGAGCATTTAGAATCCAAAATTTTTCCCCCGAGCCCCGAACCCCACGCCTATAGCTCAGAATTCTGGTAGCTGATTCAATGACTCCAACCTCGAAAACAATGTTCACAAAATTTTCTTATGCCTTTAGCTGAGAAAACCTCGAAAATTATGTTTAAATTATTATCTTTTGTGCTAAGATAATTATTGTTTAAAGTGGTAAAAAATTGCCTCAGATCACACCACAGAGCATCGAAAATCCCTTAATAAGCGGGCCCCGAACCCCACGCCAATAGCTCAGAATACCGATAGCTGATTCAATGTCTCCAACCTCGAAAACAATGTTCAAATAATTATCTTTTGCCAAGAAAATATTAGTCAAAGCATGGAGGAAAGTCGTAAGAAATTGCTTCAAATCACACCACAAAACATCTAGAATCCAATTTTTTTTGGGGCCCTTAAGCGGCCCCCGAACCCCACGCCGTAAGGGCTTCGTGCTTCGCGCTTGCATCAGTTATGATCAAGGTATGTCCCCCCCCCCCACTTTTGAGAAGCGATTGACGCCCCTGCCTGACGCCCCCCCATGAAATGTTCACGCCCCCCCCCCCCCCCCCCCCCCCCCCCCCCCCCCCCCCCCCCCCCCCCCCCCCCCCACTGAAAAATTACTGGCTACGTTACTGGTTGTACGGATAAATTGGCATTGCGAGTTTGGGATCGTAGCAGAAATGCCATTCGGGGAAAATTCATATTTGTTTTTAAAATCGCCGTTTCAACAGACTCCCAGGGAAGTGAATGTTATTTTTCTCCCCCAAGGTCCAACCCTACCATTTATCAATTAGTTATCCATGTCGAATGGAAGTAATCAGTTCTGTAGACATGTGATTTATTTAAGCGCCTCAAAAAACTAAATCGACCATCACCTAGATCTGGTAACTCAATTTAGCAAACATGTTTTGTGTTTAATTATAATTATTATTAAGAGACCAGCAATAACGGGAGAAGGAAATGGAGCAAAATTTAGGGCAGATCCCGCGGTAATGATAACGATGAAGGGTTGAGGGAATGTTTAAATTAATTTATGGCCTATCAAGTTATTTGATTTCTCAAGAACGGTTTCGTTTTTCCCCCCAAACAATTACTCCAGCGCGTTCACTTTCGTAATGAAATAGAGTGCAAATATTTCAATTAAACAATCAGTGGGTCGGTCTAGGAATTATTACTGAGAGGAAGTGTTAAAGGTATAGAATCACTCGCGGGTTTTTTTTTTTCGTTTGAAACAACGAAATGACCCAAAATCTGAAGTGCATTAACTAACGTGTTTCAGCTCGATGGTTTTGAGGGGAAAACACTAGTTTGGTCTGGTATTAGTGGATTCCGTTGCCAGCGCTTCCGATTCAAAATCTGCTGTGTCAAATTTTGAATTTGCACTTGTGTACAATTCCTACATCAGTTTAGTGCGCGTGACGTCAGCACCTAGTGGATGGGTAATTCTCGAATTAACCGATCCGACCACATTCTCTGCATTGTCAAACATAATCCCGGGCCAAGCGAGTCTATTCAGCTCTGATCAAAGATTTAAAACATTTTATGTCTTTTTTGTGCATGATATTGGCCGCAAACGATGTCGACTATAAAGTATCCCTATAACTATAACAGTTACGCGTAAGCTGTCTGTTCTGAACTACAATTAGTCGGGAGCCAGTCGAACGCAGCATACTCTGCATGGCACTGTGTTGCATTCCCTGTGCTATTTTCGAGGTTCATCCCAAAAATAGTTCCCTAAATTGCTACTTTTCTAGCAGTGCAAAAATTATTCACTTTTGAATTAGACATCGACTGCAAAAATAATTGAATTGTTGCCTTACAAACATTCGAACTACTTGCGGACTAACAATATTAGACCTCATGCGGTAAGGCGAAGCTAGAGGGCAATGGTTTTGGCATTCATTGTTAATTAATTAGAATAACACAGAAAATTGTTAATTAATAAGAACAACAAAGAATATCCTCTGAGACACCCACATGCCACCCCACAATCAGTATTTGGCGCAGTCGCCATCCGCTCGTAGGGCCTACATCAAGCTCAATGTTATTTTATTAAGAGAATTTGTTTTGAAGAGTACGGGGACTCGGTCGGGGCACACAACTGTTATATTAAGACGGCGTCCTGTTTTGTGTTTAACGAATCATTACAGTGCTTAGCAAATCTTTGCTTAACGAGTAGCTTAATGAAATTGGGACATGCGCAATAGAACGTTCTCCGTGCGGTCAATATCGCTGGTTCCTGGCGCCTGGTTTCCTGCCGTATGCCGGCAGAACTTTATATTAAATAGATCACACGCGATGAGATTGAGTGGTCCGATTGTCGCGAGAAAAGTGCCATCTTTCCATCTCATCTTTCGAAGCACTTAACAAGTCATTAGATGCCCCAGTTACGAGTCATGCCCTGAGGTGGGATCCTGAAAAGGTCCCCCTCAAAAAAAGTTAGAGTAGTGCTCACATAAAAAAGTTGAAAAGGCGTAGGCCTACGTGGACTACATTTCGCGACCTATACTACACAATATTGGACCCTTGCACACAGCGCTGGCGCCCTCATTGTCTACTCATACGTATCCTTATAGTGCTGTATTGAATTTAATGTAGCTGCATATGGAAACACATGAGTAGACAAAATGTGTACTCTCATTGTGCTGTATGTTAATGAAAAAAATCTGTCTTCGGTGAGGGAGCTCCTTGCAAGGGATCTATTTCCCAAGTCCTATAGTTTGCACGTTACACATGATATCAATGTCACAAGAGATTGTCCTGGTGACGTTAACCCTAAAGGGGCCGGGGATTAAGTCTCCAACTTGCCAGACGAGAGTTTTAATTACTCCAAGTTACGTGTCCACCATGTCGGGTGATTTCCCTTTTGTTTGTACTCAACTTTTTCTTGACAGCTTCCGTAAGGTTTGTACACGAAATTCTCCCGAGCACTATAGTGCCAAGGTCGGGCTGGCAGCGTCGGGTCAATTGTTATCGCACACACACCCCATTGTCCCAAGTCCTCAGTTGTATAGCGAAGCACCGATACATGTAGGCCTTAGTAGGCCTAAGTATGCACTTATCAGCAGGGAGGGGTGGAAGCGTATGCGGTAGTATGCTCGCAAATTATACTCCCAGGACGAAAGTTGCCCTCACATGATGATTAGAGCATGGAGGAGTTTGTGTTCCTTCCTCTATGAATTGAGGGAGCTATATAAAACACCCGCACATTCAAATTCCTGATTTTAGGCATTACCAAATGTGTACTGTTTGGAAACATAAAACCATTTTGGAATCGACCATTTGGACTGTAGCCATACCAGAAAAGAGGCAGTTCCCGAGTCGGTCGTCACATTTGATTTGAATTTATCATACTCAAACATTTTGTTTCCAGAACTTGTTAAAACCCGACAACGCAGTGAAGCAACATGAAAGGTTAATGGTTAGTTGGTAAGAAAATGAGATTTATTTCTTTACTTTTGTAATTTGTTATTATAACAGATTGGGCTCCGTTTAATTTTAATTTCTGCATAAACGATACCAACTTGCTTTGTTTCGTATTTTGGGGTGGGAAAAAGAAAAATGTTGTACGTAAAGTTGATAAGCCATATTAACAACGAAATGTTCAGAAACCATCACGTCAGGTCTCAGAAAAATACTAGTTTATTTGATTTGTTCAGGTTTGCTTGTATACATTAAACAGCATAACCCTACCCTATAAGGTCGAAACTGACTTTGGATGATGAAATTAAACAAACGAACAGTGTTGAGAATCGTAAAGTTTTAGGGCTTAGAATGCACATATTCATTCGCTCGTAACTACCGCCCAGGCAAGGCGCTGGGAATGGCTAATTTCTTCTGGATGTATGACGTAACTTCTTCCAGCTCTCATTGGATAAAATTTGTTTCAACAATAACACGTACCTAGCGCCTTGTTTGGGCGGGATGGGTACGAGCGAAACATATTCAATCTTAGCAGCACGCAGTAAGAGTGAACGTTTGACATTAACTGGCACACTTGTTTGGAAAAGTTCTAGAAGGTCAAGCAACTTTGCTTACAATTCAATAGAAGTTCTGTAGCAACGTCTAGAAATTTTGTAAATTTGTGGCAATTTCTAGAAGATTTCTGTAATTCTATAAATGCTGTTCAGAGATTTCAAGCAGTTTGCAGCTGGATATAGTCGTGGGATCGTCAGGACCGTTTCTTGTGGACTTCATCGTGTGACAGACGCTGTGGTGTTTCGCAGTTTAGTGAAGTTGTTAAGTTAATATACGCCGGAGAAGTAGTTTGCCATGCATCTAGCACGTCTGAAATGTCTCGGTGTGTGTTCAGTTTTTGTTTCCACCGTTACGGCGACTTAATTGGCTTTGTCCAGAGTAAAGTACAATACCTCATCAAGTGGAACGGGGACATTGCGAAGCCACTGCCCGCCCTCTACACTATCTCCTTGTGGCATGCGTGTCCACAGTCCAGCCACTAGAGGGAGGTAGACATCCCTGGAGTAGGTGGCGTTATTGACGATAGGCGCCACCAATAGGTCATCTCCAACTAGGAACTCTGTGTCCATCTTCAGGGAGTCTTCATCGGTCGGTGCGATCCACCATAGGGGTCTGATCAGCGGCTGACCGGGCTTTACGATGGTCTCAGCCCGGGCGATCTGGAGCAGCTTAGGCGTGATGACATCCTCGTGGAAGGTGACCCACTTCTTGGAGATCACCACTTCGTCATCGTACTGCCAGGGCGAGATGAAGAACTGCATAGCCGGCATGAAGGCCGTGATTTCCAGCCATCGTATGAAGAGCTCCCGCGGTGGTACTTCAAGCCCGTGGAATTCTGACTCGTAAGAGTTGCCACCAATCATGTCCGGTAATATGTAAGGATAACCAAGCAGACCGAAAGTTAGCGCTGTGGTAATAAGTGTCTTTAGTCCGTTATCCCAGCCCCAGCGGGAATCCTTATCCATTATCCTGACAAAGATTGGTAGGTTTTGGTTTTCGAAGGCAGCCCTGACCTCGATTTGATCTCCGAAGCGCGCTGTCATCTTAGCGTACCGGGTCGTATACTCGCAAGGATTGACAAAGGGAACGTAGGTCTCGAAATCCTTGACTAAATAGTTGGTTTCCCCCGCGTCAAATTTAAAGGAATCGATTCCAATATCCTGTTGGAGCTTCTCAAGTCGTGCCACGAACCAATCCACTGCGGCTGGGTTGGTAACGTCAAGCATTCCTGCAAAACCATTCCACCACTTGACAACACCCTCATTCTGCCCCGTTTTAGTCACCCAGTAACCTTTCGCCTTACCTTCTTGGTACGCGTTGGTGTCAATGTTAGCAAATGGTGTCACCCAGAGAGTCACACGAAACCCCTTGTCATGAAGTTTCTGAACGGTATCTTTCATGTTGGAGAACTTAGTAAGATCAAAGTCAAGTTCTCCGTACTTCATGGAGTATCCGAAATCGATTTCTATTTGGCTGTTGGTGAACCCGTTGGCAATGATCTCATCTGCATAATCATTCGCCACACTGTCATTGATGAAGACTTTGTATCGTGCCCACGTGGACCAGATAGGAGACATGATCATTCTTTCGTCCGGTAAACCAGTCGGTTTCCTGCCAGCTGGGCCAATTTCGCGCCAAGTTGCGTCGTGCACGAGGCGCACATCGTCATGCGTGCAAACTGTGTAGTCCAAGAGATGCAAATTGTTCGTGTAGTTGGGATAGTAGGAGTCATCATACGTGCTCTTGAAGCACAGCATCCCATCGCCATTGTCATTCAGACTGACATGCAGAGGGGTGTCATGGCTGACACGAATGGCAACCCCTCGAGACGATAACCAGTACCTGTCCAAAACCGATCCATACCCCTGCAAATTGGTGTACACGTCTCCAGATGCAAATACATGTATTGTGCTTGATCCACTTGATTTATCTATTGGCCATACCTGGCGGTACCTCTCACCTGCACCATACCAGTGAGCCCCATCTAGTGAATAACAGTCTCGTAGGGGTGTGTCGGCAACAAATGACTCCCATTGCACGTGCGCACACGTAAATGGCCTAGCTTCATTCGTGTCAACCAGCTCAATCTTGACTTCAGCTATTCCTTTCCAAATGTAGCAGAGAGCGTTCCCTTCGGCAGAGCATTCGAGGCCTTTCACACTGGCAGGCGAGCTAGCAGCTAGGATGCCACTCAACACCATATAAGTATGGACGCTGCTCCTTGTATTCAGCTATCAGTGTATCAGCCATGAAATACTCCGACACGGCAACTCCACGATACCCATGTTGACAGGAGTATGAGCCAAAGGGCATGCTGGGTTCAGACGGATCCAAGCCAACACTTTCATCAAGCGTCGATCCCCTCCTTGCATCTGAACGAACTTTTTGCAGCAACAACAGATATTGGTGATGCGCTCGCTCGTACCTCAGCTGAAGTAGTTCCTTGGCCTCGTTTGCGATGTCAGCAGGACTACGTCCAGACCTCCGCATCTGATCAACCAGACTGCGGCACACGGCTTTGCGGTACGTTATGTAAGCTGGGAAGATGTTATGGATGTGGGTTGGAAGAAGAGGCAAGTACAGAGGACTGTCGGCGTACCAGGGGGAGCACTTGCATTTTTTGCAGCTAAGGAGACTGGCTACGATGTAATATTGCCCGGTGTTTGGCATTGCAACGTTGCCACCTCCACCTCCAACCACAACACGAGGCCTACCCAATCCTTTCTTCTGAGCAACACCAGAGCAGTTTTGCGTTATGCACGGCAACCCCCTGGGACCAACAATACTCTTGAACATGGTTACTGGAGCCCAAATGAACATAGGATGGATCCAAAAGTGCTCTGGGCTTGGCAGTGACGTAGCTCTGCGAGGCTGCAGTTCACCAGGGGGTGGAGTTCTCCACAGCGGCTCACCCTCCCATCTGGCTGGCTGATTATATAGTGTCGTACCAGGGACAAGGCCTAACTTGTAAAGCTCTTTTCTCATCCACTTTTCCTGGGCAGGGCTGACAACATTCTGCCAAGCTAGCCCTGTGTCACTGGGAGTGGGCGGCTCGGAAATAACAGTAGCAGTCGCCCTAGTTCGACAGTAGGGCCTGTTCTGTTCAGAGGGTATGGTTGCAGGCTGTGAAGGAGAGGGGACAGGAACTGCTCGACTCTCAGGGGGAGATGCTGGAGGAACTGCTCGACTCTCAGGGGGAGAGGCTGGAGGAACTGCTCGACTCTCAGGGGGAGGTGCTAGAGGAACTGCTCGACTCTTCTGGGGAGGTGCTAGAGGAACTGCTCGACTCTTCTGGGGAGGTGCTAGAGGAACTGCTCGACTCTTCGGGGGAGATGCTAGAGGAACTAGCTCCCAGGCAACATCAGTCTCACATCTTGCATCTGTTTGCCCCAGCTGGTTCCCTATTTATAATTTCAAACAATTTACCAGTTATTAACAGAGTTGTGGTTTTGTGGATATATTGAAATTGAAATGATTTTGAACAAAAATGTTTTTTAAAAGTGAATAGCCTACAGGATGGTGCAAAAAGAAGGAAAACCACTTGTGACAGCAATTTTCACCTAGTAAAGTACAAATGTAAGTACATGTAGGTCAAAATTTCGGTCAAAAGTGAGTTTCCTTCTTTTTACACCACCCTGTAGATTCAGGCATTATCGAGATTTTTTTTGCACTTGAAATACATCTTTCATTTGGCCCAATTCGATGAACTGTCGTGTGGCTGACTCTGATTCCCCATTAACGTAAATTATGTGTATTAATATGTAGTAGTTTGTTTTTTACTTGTAATTACCTGAATACCGGATTTATAAGTTCGTGTGAACTATAGGCGTGTGAACAAAAATTGCATTTTTACATCTTTTTTAATTAATGATCGTACGGTTTTTATAACCCGTTCTTTGTCAAGGCCATTTGTCAAGGCCATAATTTCCCTCGTGAGGGATAATAAAGTTCAATCTAATCTAATCTCTAATTCATCACATTTTCAGACTTTTGTTTTAATTGACAATCTTATCCCTGTAGATTGACACATTACGAATTTATAATCTTAATCTTCAACAACGTTTGATCTACCACCGCCATGACCAGTTATAGTATGGTTTTACTGCGTTAACAAAACAACACAAAACAGAGAAAAACCTCAAACCTCAACTTGAGGAAAAACGTACGCGAGTCATGTCATAAATTATCATGCAGTCATAATTACATATTAAGAAATAAAGTACGATGTGTAAAGGGCGACACGTAAAAGCTCCAGTTGAACTTAACACTAATGACGAATGACGAATCATAATATATCCGTAACAGTAACATATGTAGCAAGATAGCACGTATAGCAATTTAATCACGCAAATCACGCAATCACGTAGGCCTAGTCACGAATCTACGTAAAATAAACAAACAATAACTATTAAACAAATCAAGATTGATAAATTATGTATCATGTATACAGTCAGTGGTAAATTATCTAGTACATGCACATGTGCGAGTCCCGAATGTTCATCCAAATTACTGCACACAATGTGTATTACATGTGTGGGTTCCATATCTACATATTAATAAGCTGTATGCATACTGTATACATTACTGTATTATTATTAAAGGGAAAATACAACATTTGCAAACATCAAAAAACAAAATGATCAAATTATCACGAAATATCTTACAGGATTGTTAGGGAATGAGTCTAAAGTATCCTGTAAAATCGTGGCTCCTGGTGTGCTGACATTTTCATGAAAACTTGTATATTTGCAACGCTGATCAGCCGGCCAGCGTTGGAGAAAACTGGCTTAAAAAAAACTGCTTCTTCTTGTTCACATTTAGTTATTCCGCGTTTTCTTTGCAATTGATTAAACACCTGTGAAGGAGTACAGGCCTACTAGACTGATTATCTGACCTCACAATTCCCCAAAGTCTATAAATTGCTCCGTTTCATCGGGTCAGGGAACCATACTACAAGAACATGGTTGGTTTTCTTGGATTTCCCAGCATCATCTCCGAACCCAAAACGTGAAGCAAGTCAGTTTAACAATATTTTCTATAACAATAAAATACTAATCCTCCAAATCCATTTATTTCTGAAAATTACATTAAAAGTAAATGTTGTAGCCTACATTCCGTTTAAAGCATATGCACATTTTCCCATGTTGTACACAAATTTTCTCCAATAAATTAACACAAAAATAATGTAATTATCCCCAAAAAAACTAAATGAGCTTGTTCTTTAAATGTGTTACAATCAGATTTAGAAAAACTTACGACTTTGGGCTGTCCTTACGGAACAAATTTCCTGACAAAACATTACGCTGACACGAGAGTAAGTTGACGTAGCTGAACGAACGTTTTGATACATATATAACTGACTTGCTAACGGTGGTACGCAACAGCGCCCTCTTTTGACAAAGGAATACATAATTTATACGAAAGAAAAGTTCGGCAATTAACATATACAAAAACGTAGCATTTCTGACCGAACACAATGCGCATACTAACTTATCCCATTCTTCAACACAATCCAATGATTGGTTTGGACATTTTTTGGATCGTAACAACAGATACTGCAAGTTTTCATTTGAGAAAATTATTGCGTGGAAATAAAATCCCCGTCATAAAAAAGGCCCCTTTGAATGCCGGTCGGGAAAAAAAAAAATTTGGAACGCTTCACGATTTTGCGTGTCATCCTTGCGCCTACTTTTCGCGGATCTTCGAGGAGCATTTTCCAACAATTGACCAATCCGATCTTGCAATCTTTCCAAGATATTTCCAAGATTGTCCAAGATATTCCAACAATTGACCAATCTGCGCTCGTGATCTGTCCCAACATTGTTCCAAGATTTTCCAAGAATTGACCAATGAGCGATTAGGGGCGCTTGTAACTTTTTCTCGGTGCGGACGCCATATTGATTTTCGTCGAGGAGTGGACGACTGAACTTTGTGATGGTGATTTTCATGGGTGAATTCCAATTGTGCGCCGTGATATTTATCTCCAAATGCTTGTACTGTAGGTAAGTGCATCAGCATTGATTAAAAATTGTTAAATTTGCTTCAGACGTGTTAGAATAAGCACTTAAAAATACAGATTTCTCGCCAATCAGTAGCCGGCAGGGTGCACGCACGTGTGGCCGGCCGTGCGTAGCTAGCATGGTTGCCTAGCCTGGCTAATGATTTTGATTAGGCCTACATCTTTAACCACGCAAAATTAGTCAATTTCAACCAGTTATATAATTATCAGCATGGCTCTAAAAATAAAACTTTGTGTCAAAATAAAGCAAAGTGTACGTATGTTCTGTGTTTCCACGTTGTTTGAAGAGGGATATAGCTCTCAAGACAGGGTCGTCTGGCTCCGTCCTCGTCGCGGTGTGGGCCGCGCGGTCAGCCGCACAGCCTGCGCCCGGACCAAAAAAAATGTGCCAAGAAATGGTTGGGGGAAAATATCATATTTTGGGGGGTTTTGAGTGATAAAAAGAAGATTAAAAAATGAAGTTATTGTTAATTTAATTGGGATTCCTATGAAATGATATCAAACATTTTGCTAGATTTGAAAATTGTAGATTTATAAACTTATGAAATGTAAACTGTTAGGCCCCTAAATCTCACTGTCACAGAATAAAACTCAAAATTTGGCATGATTTAAATTGTTTTATCTCCAAAACGCAAACATCTATGAAGCTGAATTAAATGCCATTGAATTGGATTTGTGATTCTCTTTTCAATAGTACGCAAATTATACCAATCTTATTACTTTACAAAAATGACATAATTAGTTTAGGCCCAGCTAATGACTAATGTTCGAGTCTAATGTAGTGAAGTAGGATGCAGTACGTGCTCGATGCAGTCTTTTAGACACTGTTTAGGACTCTTTTTATTTTCAAAGACTTTTTCACTGGACTTTAAATTACAGTTTTAACTTTTATATTTACATCATACCGTCCAACATTAGGCCTCAAGTCAACAGCTAGCATATATATGGCCTGTTAAATTAATATGTTTTCTTTTTACCTGTTACTTTGTAGGTCGGAAACATGGATCAATTGCCAAAGTTCAGGCGTTTGAGTAACGGTACTCTTATGCTTGGATACAGTGCTGCTGCTCAGCAAGTTCAAGCTGCCAACAAAGGGAAACCCATCACACCATGTCTGTCAGCTGCAGTGGTAAAACAAAAGGCAAGTGAACAAGTCAAGCATTTCGGCGGAAATCCACAAGACACTATGTCTCTTCTTGGCCAGTACCAAATTCAGTTCGGTGCCTTCCGTGGTCAGACATTCAAATGGATGCTGGAAAATGGCCTCGGGTATTGTGGGTGGATGGCTGACAGCATGCGAGGTGAACGACCGACAGATGCTCCACTCAGCAAGAACAAGTTTGCCTTCAAGCTGTATTTGGAAACGTTCGCGGAAGGCAAAGAAGTTATCGCCAAGAAGAAAGCGGAACGTCTCCAAAAGGCAGGCCAGGTGATGCAAAGTTCGCCACCACCGTCGACTTTAATTCCACCAGCCACCTCATTGTCATCTTTGATGGTCGGGAAGTTGACACCTCAACGAGTAAAGAAGAAGGTTCAATCAAGCCTCGACTCACCTAAAGGTACAATTAGTAACCGAGTTATTAAGTGCACCCTCTGCAGCTCTGTGAACACTGTAGGCCTACATTGTAAAAAAGTCAAAGTGTGCTCATTCTGTAATTTTTCATTGTGTGTGCTCACGTGGATTTTCAGCCATGTATGTATGTTGGTTTACTGTTTCAATTGTCTTGTAACTTCAGTTAATTGTTCAGGAAAAAGAAAGGCTCACAACTATTTAAGTTATTTATCTATTTCTTTTTTAAAGAAGTCACCGTGACGAAAAAAACAGAAGCAGTGCCAGTGATGCGAAGTTCGCCACCACCATCGGCCTCCAGGGCACCAGCCGCCTCCAGGGCACCAGCCGCCTCAACGTCTACTATGAAGGACGAGAAGTCAACACCTCAAAGAATGAAGAAGACGGTTCAAACAAGCCTTGTCTCACCAAAAGGTACAAGACAAATAGTAGCCAAGTTATTGTTAGTGCACCCTCTTTACAGGGTTCGACCTTAATTTTTTTGTTCACTATAGACAGCCGGGCTACTGATGAAACAGCCTCTTAACTATAGCCCCCGTTCATTTTCACTAGCCCACAAAATTTCTGAGCGAATTTTGTCAGTGTTTTTAATAAACAGATCTAATAATTTAACCTTTTAAAACAGTTGAAAAAACTAGACAAAAATTGATGAGGTTTACTTCCTGAATTGAATGATTTATTTATATAATTAATAATATTTTGACTTGCCAGCTGGGCTACTTAAGGAATAGTGTGACTAGCCCGCCACTGTTTTGACTAGCATTTGGGTAGTGGGCTACCGCTAATTTCGAACCCTGCTTTATACAGCTCTGTGAACACTGTAGTAAGGTCAAAGTCTGCTCATTCTGTAAATTGTCTAGATACAAAAGATATCTTGAGAGCAAATATTGTCTACAGCATCACAACTATTTGTAGATACTGTAAGTTATTAGTATTTTTTTTAAAAAGAAGCCATTTTGAAGAAGACAGCAGAGGCAGGCCAGTTGATGCAAAGTTCGCCACCAACGTCAGCCTTCAGGGCACCAACCGCCTCAACGTCTACTCAAAGAGGAAAGAAGACGGTTCAAACAAGCCTTGTCTCACCAAAAGGTACAAGACAAATAGTAGCCAAGTTATTGTAAGTGCACCCTCTTTATACAGATCTGTCAACAAAAGTCCAAGTCTGCTCATTCTGTAACTTTCCTGATGAAAAAAATCTGAGAGCAAATATTGTCTACAGCCTCACAGCTATTTGTACAAGTTATTATAATTTTTTTTTTTTAAAGCCATTGTGAAGAAGAAAGCAGAGGCAGGACCGGTTGTACAAAGTATGCCAGCAGCACCATCGACCTTCAGGGCACCAGCCGCCTCAACGTCTACTTTGATGGACGCAACACCTCAAAGAATGAAGAAGATGGTTCAAACAAGCCTTGTCTCAGCAAAAGGTACAAGTAGTAGCCAAGTTATTGTTCGAGCACCCTCTTTATACAGCTCTGTGTACAGCTTCAAAAGTACTTGTAGCTTCTACAAGTAATTGGGTTTTTTTTTTGGGGGGGGGGGAGGAGGGAAGACGTGCCTGCATGTACTTAAAAATCAACCAGGGTAATTCGTTGAGTGTCTGTAGAATGTATAGAACAAACTTTATTGCGAATGTGACGGTTATAAACAGACACCCCCTCATTTTTTGGTTCAACCTTATTTAGCGCCCCCAACGTCTGATATCGGGCACTAGCTCATTTGTTATTTCCCGAAGATTGAAGTAACATCACTTTATGTACATTTGTCTTCACTTAAATTTGCTGCATGTTAACTACATGTACAAGGAGAAATATCCCTAATTTCAAGAGGGTCACATGTATATTCTCATTTGTGACTGATACAGATAAATCACCAATAGCTACCGATGATGTCAGTGATGAAGAACTGCTCAGAGCTGTATCTGATGTGGAGGCAACATTGCAAAAAGATTACGCACCTGCAGGTATGGTGACAAGTAACAGCAAATTACAATGTTCAATGTTTCTGCATTCAATAGGCCTATAGGGGACATTGGACAATAGAAGACAATAGGGTCCCCATTTACCAAGAGGTCTCCAATGGAGATTCGTGTACAAAACATATGGGAGGCCTTCCTAAAAAGTACAAACAAAAGAGGGACAATAGGGGGCCCCCAATTGCAGGCAAATGGGTGGGTAGGCCTAAACTGCATTATGGGGAAATTTTTATTGTCAGGGGAATTAGGACTGAGATATATGGGGACATTCTGCTTTCCTCACAGCATTTTCGGTCCCCACAAATACCTCGTAGCGACGAGAAATGTCCCCACAACTACAACACAAGAATGTGTGTTCCGTTTCGGTTAGGTTAACTGTTTAATGCTGTCATGAAAATTCGGACTTCAATCTCAACCAACCTTGGTGACAATAATTGTTGGGCCGGTATAGGGAGACTTCAGATGACGTCAGATGTTTGAGGTCAAAGTTCATCTAGGGGTCAAATAAGGTCATTGTTGATTTGGGTTAGGTAAACTGAAAAGTGTACTAACTGACTCTATAAATACTGCCAGCATGCCAGGGGGATCGCGCAAGTTTAACTTGCTGTTGCTGTATTTTTTTGCAAGAATCTGTCCATGTATACAAAATTTCTCTTGTTTCAGACACAGAAGGCTCGTCTACTAGTACCAAATCATTGCAGTCTCCGGCTGGAACTAGGGATCACAGTGATGCTCAATATAAGAGTAAGTTAAGCACTGTTTTGTCAAATCGGCGGCAGGTTAACTTCTAAGGCTAGAGTCATACACTATTGCTTGCCAGCACTCATGAAGCACATGGCTGTTTCAAATTCCAAGCACATGGGGTCAACAGTAGCAATTATGTAACTGCCTGGCTAAAATGACTGATACACACTCAGCACAGGTGGTGTGATGGAGGACAAGGGCAGGCTAAACCAAACGTAGAAGGGGAGGAAGATATTTTGTTATCAAATGTTACATCTTGTTAAGAGAAAACCTAAATAGTAAACTGGTTTTTGTCGATATAGATATCCCCCCTCTGTATGACGGATGGAGGGCATCCCTGCCAAAAGCAGACCATCGATGGGTCTCCCGTGCTTTGTTTAAGCAAGGAGCTGCAGGGAGAGGAGAGATCGATCCCAAGAAAATAACAAAGATTTGGTGGTATCCACCGCAGCCAGAGCTGATGTGCACACACCCCCCACGTGTCGACAACTACTTCGCACAAAAACTCTTGCTATGGTTGCCACGGAGACTGTGGAGAGTGAAGCTGTACTGCCCACAGCCCTTGTGCATAAACAGGGAACTTACATCGGCTGGACTATATCCACACATTCGACAGGTAGTGGACATTGACAGTAGGTACAACCTGGCAACGGAGTACTTAGAATGCAGCCACTGCAGACGTAAAGTCATTAGCTGGAGTGATGACATTCTCAAGCAATTAAGTGTCCCTCAGCAGACACAGTTTCCTGTCATCCTCACCTACAAGAAAGCCTGCGATGTCAAGGTGATCAGACTACTACGGCAGCGTGGACTAGGCAATAGTGCAAGTCAGCTCCAGAAAAAGATTCATGAACAACACAGTGAGTCATGGCTTATGAAGACGGCTCACTACCTGTCCGACTGCAAGATCTTTGTAGACGCTTCAAACCAGGGACTCATCAGTATGCCAAACCTAGAGGAACCAGTACCATTTGTTGCGTTGCCACAGTCTCGGTGGTTTCAAACAGTATACTGCAAAGAGGTTCTTCAGCATCTGCCTGAAGTGAAGGCTGCGATAACTTCGGTTTTTGGCAACGTGCTAAAGATGGATTCAACTAAGAAGGTAAGAACGCGAGAGACTATACAGTCAAGTCTTGTTTATACGAACTCAGCCTCCGCCAGACATCAGAAGTTTGTTTCAAGTGGATGGAATGCCAATCCTTCATTGTGCACATGCATTAATGCAGGCAGTACCATGGCTTTATGTTTGCTATAACAAAAGTTTGTATTTAGTGTTTATATTAAGAAAAGTCAACCGCATAATGCCTCCTGCGTTGTCCACAGATATGCTACAATTGTGATGCCATGTGTAGACAATGCACTAGACATCAGTACCACACTCGTTGCAGCCAGTTTCTAGACTAACGCAATGACATTAATGGACCATTTAACTTTTTTCCAGATTGTGAAGAAATTGGCTGGCACTGGAGCACGGACAGCTTCCTGGGCTACAAATGTTGGCAATGAATTTGGCCAAGTGCTCATCAGTGTTATGACAGCAAGTGAAGGCCATGCAGGGCTGAAACCCATGGTGACTGGCCTTGTTGAGAGGTACCGGTCATCTGGCATGACACCACCACAGCTGCTCTATGTTGACCGGGACTGTTGTGGGAGCCAGTCGCATTTGCGGACACTGTTTGGCGGATGGCCTTCTTTGATGATTCGCCTTGACGTGTGGCATTTTATGAGGAGGATTGCTACAGGCTGCACAACTGATGCGCATCAGCTGTATGGGGTATTCATGGGACGGCTGTCCAACTGCATCTTCGAATGGAGTGCCAGTGACGTTGAACGTCTTAAAGTCGCTAAGAGAGGACAACTCCAAGGTCAGCATGTCAGCGGGCTGTCAGATGATGACATCATCAAGCGTATCACCAGGAAGGAACTAGCGCGTCACTGTCGTCGCCGAACGAGAACAGTTGCCAATATTGAAAAATCGATTCATGAACTGCTGGTTGCCTTTCTCGGTAACCAGGGCAAGGACACACTTGGTGTTCCATTGCTCAAAGCCGACATGATGAGGAAGATATGGGACACACAGAAAAAACACCTTGCGTGTCTCCAGGACCCAGAGGGACTCCAGCTATATGCTCAGACGGGCACAATCATGAAAGGTGGCTTCCAGCTCCCTGTGTACAGATGTGCCAGAGGATCAACATCCTTGGAGTCATTTCATCTGCATCTGAATCGCTTCATACCTGGTGAATACATTCTCAATTTTTCAAATGATTCGATCATTCAAATGGTTCAAGCATTTCCAGTAATTGCTGTCCAAGAAGGGGATCCAGAAAGACAATGGTAATTCAGAAATGGTGCCCCGAAATACTGTTGTATTCCTTTGTTGCTGGTTTTCCAACAAGCAGTGTAGTCAGAGTTCTCACCGTTGGGGGGGGGGGGGGGAGGAGAGGGGGCTAGATGTTGCAGTGGGGGGGGGGGGGCAATTAACATCTGTTAAAACAAGTTAACCGTTGTAACTTATGGGACTAACAAATTTCCAATTGAGGAACGAGGTGAATGGGGGACGACATGTTCTTATGGGATGTGTGTCCGCCCCCCCTTTCCCGCCCCCCCCCCCTCCCCCCTTTGCCACGCCGTTGTTTACAAGGTTAATGTAACACGTTTCCCTTGTGTTTCAGGTTCAACTGCAAATGACCTCAACTTTCAAGCATACCTTCTGGAAGGCCTTGTCAGGTGGAATGAAGACAGAGCTCTGGCAGCAACAGACACCCCAGCTGGAGTTCGTTCCTATGACGGTCTCTTGAGGCAAAGCGTAAATGAGCTCGGGCAAACAGTGTTTGGGAAGAACTTTGGTGGCAGTTACACTGTACCTCAAAAGTACACAGGTGAGCAACAACAGAAATATCTTCCGTCAAGATTTTCAGCCTGTACGTGTATTCAAAAAGGAGTTAATTTGTAGTATACATCTTACTTTAGGTGAGCTGATAGGAATGGAATATTTGTACCGCCAAACTGGGGAGGTTCTCGAGGACATTGCCGAACAACCCAACACGGATGAAGATGACACTGGTGAAGATGACATTGGTGATGACGACGATGATGAAGGATTCTATGCAGATAGCTTTGATGACCTGACAGTGCCATCCCCTGACAGTGTTGCTCCTCATCACACTTCTCCTCTCCAAGTGCGTCAACAACTCGCCCTTGATAGTGATGTTGCTTCAACATCAGCCGAACGTAAGTTATGTTGAACGATAAGTGTTTTTTTTCCCCTTCAATGAGCAGGACCGATAACTATCGGTCCTGCTCATTTTCATGACAGTTATAAACTGTTTTGCAATTTTAATTTTTATTAGGTAGCAAGACTTTTCAATGCCTTTAGTACTCTTTTGTTTTGTATAAACATGTATTTGTACTAATGTTTGAAACCAATTTTCGAGGCTTTATTTTTGTTCGTTGTACAAACATATCCTTAGAGTTCGCAATGTACTTATTATATTTGTATCTCCACTTCAGCTGACATCAAAGCGATGCCACATGGTCAAAAGTCTAGTGTGCCATTAGCAGCAGTTGATATGCCAGCTATGGATACAACCTTCCAGGAAATCCCCTTGCCCAGTGCTCCTACGTCGCCACCAGTAGAGAGTCCAGAATCGACATGTCCACCTGAATCACACAACCCTGATGTAAGTACCACTTTTAACCAGTTCACGCCGGGATTATTTTGACAAGAACAGAACGAGGCGCGGGATTTATTTTCATTGGACCTCAAGTCAGGCAGGTTGAAGCCATCACCCTTGGGACGCATACTCATATTTCCAGCCTCACTCGCTGCAAGCAGGTCGCTGACATATTTCGACCTCTCTCCCTGTATGTTTATCTGTCATCCATTCCTAATACCGCAAAACATTAGCATGTGTGCACGGCCTCAGGCGCAGACTGGTTTAGGGAAAAAGAACAATTATCATGGAACTTATAGTTTACAGGACCAAAAATTTAAACGTGTGTATCTGTTGTTTCAGGAATCTGTTGGACCTGACAGTATTCCTGGGTATGGAAGGGTGGACCAGCTAGCACAAACACTGTTCACACTGAAGGACCAATCTGGACCTGTCACTTATGTCCAAGCCATGGAAATTGTCAGACTGTGGAGAAGCCTTGAAGTATACGACAAGAAACCAACTGTGTTCTCTCCTCGATTCAAGGCAAAAATAACTACAGGAAGATTCAAGGTTTCCAAAACTACAGTTCAGCCAGGAGTTGAAAGCACAAAAAGGTAAATTTATCTTATCTTGGTTTCTCAGTTTTACTGGGCTTAGATTAGAGAGGAAATCATGTGTGGCAATAATGTGGCGCTATTGCGTTACTCACAGAATTTTGAAAATTGTGTAGCAATTTTAGCCTGCCCTTGCATACATAGAAAATTAGCAAGTCAAAAGGGTGAACTAAAATTACTACACCATTGTTCTCCTTATTATGATCCCAGTAATGTTGATATGCTTATATTATGCATTTGTAATTTACTGTGTAGGTGTTTCCTGGGTGAGAGCAGTGGACCAGCACAGTGGCCCGACTGCAACCGCTATGTGGAGTCGCTCATGTCAAAGCTCTGCGAGTGCTTCCCATCGTCCACTCGCTCAGAAGGAAAACACACTCCACGGTGGACCCACATAACTCGGGCGTACAAAAACATCCGCCAGAAAGTCCTGGACAGTGCTATCATCATGAGTGAAACATCTCTGCAGCTGGTGGATGTCAACAACACAACTCTCATGCAGTGGTAACTTTGCATTAGCTTTTCACTTAACATTATTTTCGAGGCTGGAAATATGAGTGTGCTGCCTGAGGGTGATGGCTTTCAACCCTCCTAGCTTGAGGTCGAGTGAAAATATGAAAATAAATCCTACGCCTCGTTCCGTTCTTGTCAAAATAGTCCTGGCGTGAACTGGTTTACTCTTATAAACACTGCGACAAAAAAGGCATGTGCAGAACGCAAATAGTGCAATTTTCACTGTTTCTGCATCACTGACTGTTTCAGGTGTTATGTATTAGGACCAATATATCTATTCTCTTAGAAATGGTAATGACAATTTTTTTTTTCAAAATAGGTACAACAAGAAGATGAAGAAGCAGGAGAAGGCTGTACTTATGCAAGGCATAACTCATAAACCAGCGCCTCATACTGCACCCGATCCACTACCAGAGCCAGTGACAGGACCCCGCTTAATGCCACAACCCAAGTCAAATCAACCTCACGTTTTTGTAATGCCAGCAAATACAGCAGGACAGGCTAACACACGTGGGTATGTCGCCCAGCCAATGATGTTTCAAGTTCTTGGACAACCAGCTGTTTCTCAGCCACTGCAAGCAGAACCCTCAACGAGACCAGCAAGTACTCTCTGGTATCAGAAGCGTAAGGCAGAAAAAGAGGCAGCTGGACAGTTTTCAAGGAAGTATGTAAAGAAAACTGACAAAATAATTTGTAGCAAGTGCCAGCAGCCACGGGAGAAAGAAACGCACAAACAGTATTATGGAAGTTGGTATTGTGCTACCACAAGTGACAAAACTTATGATGAGTGGAAGGAGGGACTTCCAAGCTACCAAAAAAAAAACCGCGCACAAAACCCCCCAACCAGTGACGACTGATCCTGGAAGAGGGTGCCTATAGGGTTAAGCGGAGAAACAACTCTTGCCAACTAGCGGGATGATCGGCTATAAAGTGACAATGCCATGCGTGTTGCATCTGAGTGATGTCACACAACCCAGATGCTCGAACATAATCAAACACATGGTTTTGGAACACTTGACTGCATGGGTTGAAAGCGTTTATGTGTAAATATTTGTCTGATCATCTGCGCATCTAGACCATGAGGGAGTGTGCTATTACAGGGAGTTTGGTATTAAATTTTTTGCTTTAGCACTAAGAACAAACATTGTTCAAATATCTTTCGCTTTTGCACTAAAGAGATATAGCCAGCTGGGGATGGGAAGTATCCTCCCTCTTCTCCAATATTTAGTAAAGACTGCCCTTTTTTTCAGCAGCATTTAACCCCCCCCCCCCAAAGAAAAAATGTTTGTAAAGAGTTTCGGTTTTTTGGTTTTAACAATTTCCTTGTTTTGAGTTTTTAACAGGTGCTTTTTTTGTAAACAAAAGCCCTTTTTTTAACAGCGACCTTTTATGAGTGCTTCTCTTCTAACTTTCGCACAACCCAAAATGCACATCGCCCCAATTAGATGATGACACCAGCCCCCCCCCCCCCCCCGACCCCCTACCGACCTTGCTAGGCCACTGCATTAGGTGTACTTGAGTAGTGGCTGGGTGACAAAGCTATGTTCTTTACACTGAAGTGCAAGCAGTCTGTTCACAAATCAATGTTCATTTTGGTTTGTTGGCTGTTCTTCCCAAGACGTTTTATTGCCAATGCGCATACAATGTATACATATTGTTTTTAAATGAATAAAGAAAGCATTTCAAAAAGGAGAAACAAGTTTGTTGATGTTTCTACTGTTTATCATTTGCATTTTAAAATTTTTAGTGTGACATTAAAGTGTTGGGGAATAGACAGTCAATGCAAAATTCTTTAGTTGAGTACTGTGTTAACCACGACTTTATTCCACAACTAATAATATACACTGAGGACAGAGAACTGGAACAAACTGATGGTGAACTACAGTGGAAACTGAATATTAACTACTATACTACTTGATAATTACTGAATACTGACTGATTGAATGATTGATTGATTGGATGAATGAGGAACTGCTCAGAACTGTAGAGAACAAATAGAACAATCAGGAGGATTAATTTTGTACATGAATGATAAATGTTAGAAACTAAAGTAAAATAACATTGATAATTAAACTAATTTTAGACAAATTGATAATTAAGAAATGATAATCGGCACGCTGCAAAATGAAACCAAAAAGACTGTCACAGTAAAGACTACTTTCACTACAACCATTCTTTCAATAAAATACATGCAATACCTAGTTCTTTTATTCGTGTCGATCCATCCTCGAAAGCTACAGCGTCTCAGTTGTCTTAGGCCAGAAAGTGTTTTCGAGGTTGATGAGGCCTTCGTAGCCACAGAAGAAACGGAAGACTTGGCACAAGGCGATGACTTGTGGTCGATAGTTCCAGGAGAAAGAATCATGCTTTTAAAAAGAAAAAAAGAAAAGGTGTCTTACACAAATGCCATTTTTTAATGTCCACAATGACAATTTTAATTAGGTTCAAAATCAATAGCTTTTAGATGGCTATATTGTAGACGGCACAACAGCTAGGGGACGGCACCGAGACGGCACACAGACAACTAGGAGACAGCACCGAGACGGCATGCACTGAGATGGCACTGAGACGGCACCGTGACGGCACGGCAACAGCCACCGACACGGCACTGAGACGGCACCAAGATGGCACTGAGACGGTACCAAGATGGCACTGAGACGGCACCAAGATGGCACTGACACAGCACTGGGGTGGCACTGGGGCGGTATCAAGACAGAACCCAGACAGTTAGGAGAGGGCACCAAGGTGGCGCCGAGACGGTGTTGAGACAGTACTGAGGCAGCACTGAGGCGGCACCATGCCACCGCGCGCGACGGCACGGCGACTGCACCCAGACGGCCATCGACACATCACCACGACGGCACTGACAAGGCCACCGTGAAGGCCACTGAGGCGGCACATGGCATGGCGACGGCACAGTGATGGCCATCGACACAGCACCGAGACTGCACCAAGATGGCACCAAGACGCACCAAGATGGCACTGACACGGCACTGGGGACACAGTCACTGAGACGGCAGCAACACAGCCTCCGACACGACCACCGACACAGCCACTGAGGCAGCACCGAGACAGTTTTTTCCGAAAAGCCACAAAGACGGCCATAAAGATGTTCACCAAGTAAGATGCCCAAATAAGAGACCATCTCTTAGAATTGTAGATGGCTTCAAGATGGCACTAAAAAGGCCACCAAAATGCCTATATTACGAACTTTCAGAGGTTCACACTCACGCGCATTCACATCACAATATCAGGCTATTTTGGCTTGCTGTGCGTGGGTCATCCTCTTAGAATTGTAGATGGCTTCAAGAATGCACCAAAAAGGCCACCAAGATGCCTCTATTATTTAGAGTAACGTTCAGAGGAACTCGCATCACAATATCAGGCTGTTTTGACTTGCTGTTGGTGTTTTGATTTGTGGAAAGTGCAACAGAGAAGAACAAGCAGAATTTTTGCGCCAGGGGCCATGCTAATCTTCTCTGTATCGTTCCAATTTTAGTAAATGTGCAGCCGAAGCTGGCACACTATAACTTGGACCCTACTTGATACTTATATGCCATTATTTTTCATATTTTGCTATCACGACTTCAACAACAAAACACGCGCGCAATCCGTTTGCGAAACGTTTCAGTGCCTCATCATTATGGTCGGGTCGAAAGTCACGCATGCGCGCATAGCAATAGCGCATACGACCACGGTCTGGTTCCCATGGGTCGGGGGGGGGGGCGGGGGCTGGCTAATACGACCGTTCGCGTGGCCATAGAGCTATATTAATTTAATATAGCTCTATGACGCGTGTCCACTGTATCCGCTGTGTACCGCATGGAAAGTCTGCGCAAAAAAAATATGTCAGCCGGCCGCAGAAGAAAATAAATTGCAATGTAAAAGCAAATTACATGTGTGGACACTCAGTCAGTACACACAATGTTCACATTTCGAGCATCTACGGTGTAAAACTTCAAAATGTAATTACCATGTATTAATGCAAGGTTATTTCATGAGACATGGACTTAAAAAAACGGGGCAGCCCATTTCACATTTCTGTGGGTTAACTTTTCATAACTTTTACGGCCATTAATTTTTTGCCCTGCTTAATAAGGCCTGCTTTAATTTTTTTTAAACTTTTTTATCTGTATTTCTTAATAACCTGTGGATTTTTAATTGTACAGCGCTTTGTGATGTCTTGTTACATGGAAAGCGTGTTTTTATTTTCAAATAATTCATATTTTATTATTTTTATCCAATCCCTGATCGTGAGGTACATAGGAAATGCGTACACAAATATCTGTACATCACGTACACCGTACAAGAAATGGTCAAATCATGGGACCATTCCGGAATAGAGGGAGAGTTTTGTAAAATTATTCCCATTCTGAATTATGTTCGGTAGTGCATCATTATAAAAGTACTTCTACGTTCTTGATTGAGTGATGCACAGTCTTACTCTGGGAAAGATATGTCAATTTCAAAATAAAACTCCACAGAGTAGTTGCTTCAAACTCTCAGATAGCAGATGTAGTTTGATGTAATCCAAATGTATAAATTCAAAGTGCTCAGTTCTCTTTCTGACAAAAAAAAATAACACAACTAAATTAGTCAGGTGTATGAAATTCACACAGTTGCACGGCACAAACAACAGCCGTAGGTTCCACAATACATCAAACATGAAATAGTTACAGCCAACGTGTACCCATCATGCATCATTCCATCATGGCAGCGCAGAGCGACGTGGACGAACTCTTCGAGATTCGCAATGCTTTCTACTTGGGAAACTTTCAACATTGCATTAGTGAGGCACACAAACTGAAGGTATTATCCAAGAAATGAAGAGGCAATAGGCCCTACCTTTGTATCGTTGAACATCAAATAGATGCTTTGAATAACGCATTGCCAGTGGCTATCGTTACGGCAGCCGTAACGCATTTCCCATTTTCTATCGTTACGGTCATGACGGTAGTAGGCCTACTGCAACTTTTATAAAAACATGAGAAGAATATATAAAATAAGAAGGAAAAAAAGGGAATTTAAACGTTATGAAATTCGGACTTTATTTCCCTTTTAAAAATAATCCTCAAAGCCTCAGGTTAGATTAAAAAAGGAAAACAATTCGAGTGCAAAACTTCGATGCGAACCCGCAACCTCGCGGTGCAAAATCCTACCCTAGGCTCTATCGACTGAGCTGTCGCACTGCTCGCTAAAACGTGGGGAAACAAATAATTATATAGGCCTACCTGCGTGCGCATCAAAAACGTATCGTAGAGGGCGCTAAACAACGGCTGCCGTAACGATAGCCACTTCGAAAGTTGAAACGGAAAGGTTTACTGAGTACTCCATGACTCTGTCTGCCATGTGTGTCCGCCGAGGCCCGATCACGCCTAGCCCCACTTGTGTGGCCTCCGTTTAAGCCTTTTTTTGAGTTCCAACTGCGCATTCGTAACCTGTGACAACGCGCATTGTTTGTCTCAAATGGCCTTTGACAACATCGCGCCACTGACTTTACAAAAAGGCTGTTTGTGCATTGTGGGTACTGTCAAAGGGCATTTGACAAACAATGTGCGTTGTCACAGGTTACGAATGCGCGCAGTTTTAACTCCGAAAAGGCTTAATATTGCTGCGCTGTATGTTAGGCCACACGTCTGGTTTTCCAACCTACTGAGGAGTTTATTCCAAACGCTGGCGCATCCTTTTTTAGAATTTCTTTTTTTACATACCACTGACTATATATGCTATATGGTTGTAAGTTAACTTGTATGCCTATTCTATGATTCCTCATCTTTTGCCCTAGGAGTAGGAGTAGGACTAGGTATGCCAAGGCCTAATCTTTTTTTCAAATTTTTCGCGAAATTTAGACATCTTTCTGGACTTCCACATGCGCCAGTTTCGGACTTAACTCCCCAGGCTCAGTAGGTTGGGAATTTGGGAAACCAGACGTGTGGCACATAACGTACAGCGCAGCAATAAAAAGGGCATCAATAAAAAGGGCCATTTGCAACAGCCGTGCTGAAATGTTGACACATATTTTTCACCGGACACTTGGCCTCCGAAGGGTACCGAAGTTCCAGTGCTCCACTCAGTAGAGCTAGATATGAACGAGGAATACGTTGGAAACCGAGCCCCCAAACCCTTACAATGCACCCTGAAAATGGGCACATAATGCGTAGTTTGCATAATGGCCAGTTTTGAAGAGCGCCCCCTTATTTTGGAAAATGGTCCTGCCTCCCCCCCCCCCCCCCCGAAAACATATTTTTGATTTTCCAACCCAATCCTGTCAAACCTGTCAGAGTGGAAATTAAATCTTAGACGAAAACACCCAAAAGCCCAAATTGTCCTGACTGACGGTACGACTTGACTTGCACCTGACGGTACGAGTCGTCTTAACTGAAGGTACGACTTGGTGAAGGTACGAGAATCATTCCGGGTGGTTACGTTAGTCAACCACGATCATGACAATCTGGTACATAGTAGTACATCAAACAGTCGTCGTGTGTGGGCTTCAGCGCCAGTTGGCAAGTTTGACTGTAATTCTCATTTCTTAGAATTCTTTATATGCCATGGGATCTATTCTGATGTTTGTTCCTTTTCCCTATTCTGCTTTCTAGCCGTCAACGTCAGATCTGAAGCTGATGCGAGATGTCTTTATGTACAGAGCCTATATTGCTGGGGTAAGAATATTGTATTATGTCAAAAATGCCAGGAACATTCAATGCTGTATAAACATCAAGATTGTCAAAACCACCATTTTGTATGCAGTGCAGGGTAGATCAGTTCACTATAACTCGACATAGTTGTACAGTACTCATTTTGTAAACCAATTTGGCATGGTATATAATTGACTTTGATTTCTATTTACAGCGTAACTATGGGGTTGTGTTGGATGAGGTGAGATCTTCTTCAGCTCCAGAGCTGCAAGCCGTCAAGATGTTTGCTGATTACATGGCCTCACCAAACAAGAGGTATTATCATTTAATTAATGTATTTGCCCTTTTTTACTTTCATTTATGGGCCATCAAACAGATGAAATTTTGCCCAAACATAAGATACCTGTGCGTACACTGTATATATATTGACACCATTTCCAAACATTCAAAAATGAAACTGTCAAAATATGAAATATCCTACTCGATTGTACTGAAACAATATGATCAAGCGTCTTGTGAAAGCAATGTGCCTAGTATGCTGTCATTTTTGAAAAAGGAGAATTTAGCATCATTTCCTCAAGATGATTAGGACCACCATGCTTTCAACGGAAATGTACACGTATTCTTTGTGTCAAGAAATGAAGATGAATTTTCACAACTTTCTCCAAAAATATATCTTCTAGCTAAAATTTTGGAAGTTCATTTTTAAATAACCTGCTTCAGATTCATTGTATTCCTTGAATTGGCAAAAACACCTGTTTTTTTATGGCAAATGGTGTCCGTTACTTTCACCTCTCTTATTGAGAAAGAGGGTATTCACTGCCTTTTTAACTTCTTTCAAGTCAGGGAAGGCAGGGATTACTGAGAATGAGAGAGAATTCCATAGTTAGCTTGTCCTTGGTATATAGGAGTTGAGAGAATGGCTTATTTTTGACTAAGGGTTCACAATAGGCAGCGGACGACCACTTGTTGCCACTCTGTTGGCTCGTAAGTTGGGAGCTTTTTGAGGCAGAATATTAGGCAGTTCAATGGAGGTTGAATACAATATTCCATGGAATGAACTCACTGGCTTTAACATTGGTCAAGCCCTTTTTAAAAATTATTTCACATAAGAATTAACAGTTTAAGCTTTTTTATTTCTCATCTCCTTAATAATTGCATTTTTAAATCTCAACATTTTTGCTTGGCCAGAGAGAAGATTGTTGGTGATCTTGACAAGAAGATGAGTTCCAGTGTGGACATTGACAATGATACCTTTCTTCTGATGGCTGCATCTATATACTATCATGAAGAGGTGGGTACATTGACCCACTGTGAGGGGAAATACATTCATATTGACCAGTAGATGCAGGCTTACCGATATAATTTGGGTGTTGATAAGAGCGCAAGTTTATATGACTGCTACAGTCTTATATCAAGAGTAATGATTATGATGGCCATTTTGAAGAGAACAAAATGCAAGTTGATTTAACTCGTAAAGCGTGTAATATCTTGGATATATTTGAATACCTGTAGTATCAGCTCGGAATGCAAAACGTAATTCAAAGCTGCATAATTTGAACAATTGTACAATATGTTCAGTATGCACTCTTCTGGCAACTAAAGTAATTTTTTTTAAAAACGTAATATACCATTATCACGTTACAGCCGTCTTGATTTTTTCCCATTCAAATCAACGTAACCAAAGCGAGGCTGGAAGGAAAAATAGTCTGGTTCCTTTTTGCACAAAAAACATCATTCAGTACTGTTATTGGATACAGGGAACATGACTGAAATGTTGGCAGCATGATAAAGGTATATGCCAGTAGTGTTCCAAGTGAAGACAAATTCTTGACGGCTTTTTCATTCACCATCCCAGCATGCCACATGCCATAGTGAAGGGAAACCTTTGATGTTTTAGGTTTACACAAACATTCAGCATGTGAAATTAAATTGTGAATACGGTGGTACAAGCAAACATCTCTCTTTTTCTCTCTGATACTTGTCCAGAACTTTGACGCTGCCCTGAGGTGTCTCCACCAGTCAGAATCTCTTGAATGGTGAGTCTTCTAATCTTCACAGAGTGTCTAGAAACTCACATCTAGGAATACCAGGTCACGTGACACTGACGAGAGCACAATATATACATGTATGTCTATAATCTACTGCAAAGTTTCAGATCACATTTTAGCCTCTAAACTTGATTTCTTTTATTGATTATTTGTGGTGTGTAACTTCAAAAAATGTTTAACCAAAAATGTTGAGAGGCAATTTCCCCATTTTTCAACTCAATAAAAAAAATTCAAATGGGCATTACTTTGTCAAGAAAAGTCCATTTCAGATTTTAAACTGTCATTTCAGAGGGAAACATCTATATTTAAGTAGGACCCAAAAGTCTCATTTTAGGAAATTGTAATCAGTGACTCAGTCAGTGATTCAGACAGAGACTCAGTCATTGACTCAGTCAGTAACTCTCTCAGCAACACATTCACCGACTCACTCAGTGATTCATTCAGTGATTCATTCAGTGACTCGGTCAGTGACTCAGTCAGTGGCTCAGTTCCATGACTCGGCCAGTGACTCCGCCAGTTACTCAGTCAGTGACTCAGTCAATGACTCAGTCAGTGACTATGTCAGTTACTCGGTCATTTTAATAGACAAATATAGGATGGCTTTATAGGTAAAGCAGAATATTTTTTTTTGTGACAAGCTGCCTCAAAGAGTTTGTTTTGGATGGGACACATCTTAATTGACCCTCTGTTCCTCTGACACAATGATGTTTATTGTCCCCCCCCCCCCTCCCCCTTTTGTGCAGCCTGGCCCTGACCATCCAGACCTGCCTGAGGATAGACAGAGTAGACCTGGCCAAGAAGGAGCTCAAGAAGATGCAGGAGAAGGATGATGATGCTACACTGACGCAGATGGCTCAGGCCTGGTTCAATCTGGCCGTGGTGAGTCTCTCAATTTACCAAATTATATGTTCACATCCCCTAACTTGTTGCAGTCCTTAACATGGCGCATCCCCCGACTTGGTGCACTTAGATTTTGTTGCTCTAATGCCTAGTCAGAGCAAAATGCTTTATACCCAATCTTTCAGTAAAATACCGGGAAGTTATAAATATACTATTCATAAATCTTGACAAAATTCCAGGAGAAATGTTGCAGTCTGATTTAATTTTGACATGCATAATAAACACTTTCATATTGCACCCAAAAATATAACATTATTTTCTGACAAACATGTTGTTGGATATGTGATTGGACATGATAAAAGCTTATAACTATCGTAAATTTGAATGAAATTTTCAAACGTGCACCTATGAATATCTGGAATTTTTTTCAAGTGCACCATGTTAGGGAACCTTCTGCCTGATTTCATTCCTAAATTCCAGAAAACAATTCTTTACAGGGTTTCCTTGCCAAGTTTAACCGTTAACCCTGCCAGACACAAAACAGCACAACATGTGTAAAAAGATTGGATCTTTGTTACAATGGGCCATCGACACCAGTGCAAAAAATTTTAATTCTGAGACGATGGGAGCTGGTCCCCTTGGAGCAATGCCATTTTTGTCTCCTGTAGCAACATGCAAACCACAGACTCCATGGCAATAAGCCATTTGCAAGTGACCTATGGAGTACCGAAGTGAATACGTCACATGCACAAAATGTGTGTAAAAGACCTTAGCGTGTGATTCGGACCGTGAACCAATGCACTACACTTTCTGGTTCTAAATGACGTCACACTTCAGTACTCCATACCCTTTGGGATTCGAATTTGAAAAACATCTGTTATACGGACTTGCTCAGAATGCTTGGCACATTTGAACTTTGCATTCTCAAGACCAAAGACACTGTTGCTAATCACATGATTCGGGGCAAGCTCTTGCATAGCTACGCAAGAGACGCTCAGCACCAATACATTGTTTAAAGGTAGAGTCCATCATTTGTAATTTGTGCATTTTGTTCGTTTGAAGCAACAAAAGAGTTCAAAATCTAATGAAGGATACTGAGCAACTAACCTGATGAAGTTTCAGCTAAGCTTCAGCTGTACATTCCGAGAAAAACAGCATTCTAATGTAGAGAATCCTAGGGACGGGGTGGGGTTGGGTGATGAGGTAGTACTACTACTAGTGTGGGTTGTATGACTGACTGGTGAAGAGCTCTGGGTCTGGCTAAATGGGTGATTGGGAGGGCAACACGGGCACGCAGGTCCTAGTGAACAGGTGACGCTTGAGAAGTTAGTTTCCTTGCCTCAGGCTCAATGACTGCCATTTATTCTTGCCAACCTGCCAGCCCAGCTGCCAATTCTCACTGTATGAGAATTCGGCAGTGAGGACAAAAATACAAAGAATACAAATTACAAAAAGCACGCACATGTCAGTGTTATACAGGTATAAAATTACAATAAACGTGTACATGTAGATCTATTTCCCCAAATTAAATAAACAATCTTCGCATGAAATAAGAATTACCTCAGGCAATGCTGAACATAAAGGAGCAGGCTCACATTTACACATGCTGGCCAGGCACACTCATACACACTATCAACCACTTTCATACACACCAGTCCTCAATGAACAGGAAGAGCCATTATTTGTGGGTTATTATTCCCTAAATGTAAACCTTAGATAATCATAGTACATGTACTGGAATCTGACAATGCGCAATAAGACCCATGTTAAATTATACATGACCATAAATACGTACGTAACGTTATACATGTACACAATTACATGGGAATATCACGTGTGCGCGCACCATGCTGTCACATTTTGCACGTGAACGCGTGTATGCCTATACTACACGCACAATGTTCGCTAAACTCTCCACAACGAGCTCACACTTTGGAGCCCAAAACCTACATTTATATCTTATCAAAACTTTACTTTAATGCCTCCAGTATTATCTATGAACACTAGCGGACAAATCCTAATGCAATATTGGGTAGTTTGCAGTTTGCAAACAAATGATATTTCAATTCAAAAACGAGCTTCAAAAGTTGACAACGTACCTGTATGAGAATTCGGCAGTGAGGTGCCGGTCAAGGGTTACGCAAGGCACAGGTCACGTACATAATAAGGGGCGTGGCTTAACTACATGTAAACACTACGTGCATATCATACGCACACTCTACACTAAGATCTCAATTTCAAATCAAAAGTTGCTGAATCATGTTTTGAATTGTTTTGAATTGCAACTATACGCGACGTCGCGCACTGATCCGACGAATTATAACAACCGCGCGCGCGTGTGCATCGTTCGAATACTTGTGCGCGCTGCGCTGAATAACAAAACGAACTACTAATTTAAATTTTCCTACGGTGCTTCTTAAGAATCACCGTTGGAAATGCCTTCTTTCGTTGATTACTTCAAAATGACAGCTTCCCAGAAAGAATAATTTCACAGGGAGTTTAGTCTCCTTACTATCTTTCAACCAAGTTAGTTTTTCAACAATAATTACGCCAGTTACTTTTCGGATGGCTGCAAATGATGGACTCTACCTTTAATAGGTGAGAATGGCACAAAGACACCTGACCATGCTGGAGCTGGTAGGGAGAATGCAAAGTTAAAACGTGCTAAGCATTGGGTTATTAGCATCCAGATTTTATTCAATTTTAACTCACAAATTGCTTATTTGGTCTTGGGAGTTTTCACTGCGACAGGTGTTGCATGTTGTTGAGTTGGTTTTATGTTCAAAATATGCAAAGTTAGGGTTAAAGGTTTTAAAGACAAAATATGCAGGGCTAGGGTTAAAACTTTTATGAAAATGTCCGTGTTTTCATTTCCTTCTAGGGAGGTGAGAAGCTTCAAGATGCCTTCTACATCTTCCAAGAGCTCGCTGATAAGAATGCAAGCACACCCCTGCTACTGAATGGCCAGGCATCAGCGTATCTACAACAAGGCAAGATTGAGGATGCTGAGAGTATACTCCAAGAAGCGCTAGAAAAGGTGGGTGGATTTTAGGCTCAAGAGAAGTAATGCCCCGAGTCAATGGCTCGACTCAACTCAAGTCACAAAATATTCCTGGAATATTTATTCAGTACCACTGCTTGTTGAAATTGAGAATGCTCACTGTTTGATGTGCAACAGCATGTGAACTGGAACGTTCACATATAAAAAAAAAATGCTGGTCAGTGCAAATGTAGGTTTACTTAAGAGTGGCCTATTGGACTTGAAACACTTTCAAAAAGCCTAACTTTTAAAATCTTTCAAAATGTTTGAGACTTGCTTTTAAACAACACCTTTTTTGCTAGTACAAGACGACTTTGTCAGTCTTGTATGAAGATTCAGTTGCATCTGATTCAAAATTTCCAAATCAAACTTTGATATACAAGCAACGTCTGTGTTGCAGCTTTTGTAATAAATGATTTTAATTTGTTTTTACTTTGATATTTGTAGGAAAGCAACAATCCAGAAACTCTCATCAATATGATTGTACTATCCCAGCTTCTTGGCAAGGCACCAGAGGTAAGCATATAGGGGTCATTCCATGTCAGACCAACGCACTTTTTTACCTCATGTCTTCTGATTTTAATAAAAATTGCTGTGCTTGTAGGACCTGATGAGCAATGAATGCACACCAATTTTTAGCCCGATACAACCTACCATGTGGTCAGGGCAGAAACCACAAAAAACGGACATTTTTAGAGTAAAATACCACCCTTTTGGCAGAAATATGTCAAAACCATGTCAATTTTCATCGAATATATGCGAATTTGGTATCAAAATAATAAGAATTGCATGCTCAAATCAACTCTTTTGTCAAAATTAAAGGAAACATGCAGTCCAAAATTTTCATAACGTATTTTATTTTATATATACATTCATTTATGTGTATTAAATGTGAATTAAAAGCAGAACTGGTTCTGGTGTACGTTTAGTGTGGTAATTTGCCGTCCAAAATTGAACCCCCCCTTTTTGATTTTCGCGGCAACTCCAAATGAGGGCGCTGTTCATGACATAAACAAAGGCAGAGAAATCCAGGGCCCGTAAATGACGTCTGGGTACGAGACGGATTAGCGAAGCTACTGTGCTGTGTGTATGTGCAGCCGCCGCGTACCCGTACGTGGCATTATATGCACACGTACGAATGTGTCTACATGGGATATGTACAGTACACGTGGACGTGCCACGGTGCCACCGTTGTCGAATGAACACAACGACGACCGTCATGACCGTAAAAGTTCCGAAGACCGTCCTCTTCTTTCCTTAGCGAATCCAATGAAAATGGTACAGATTCGTCCGATTCGAATCAGAGTTCTAATGATTCAGACACTGACTCGATGTTTTTTTAGGGGCATGCCCAAGTTGCTGTACAGACCAGCATCAAAGCACGACGGCTCAAAGTGCAGCGCAGAGGGCAGCGAACTCACTGGGCCCGGACCACTTTGCTCTGGTATTTACCTTCACTTTGGCTCTCCAAATGCTCCGATATTTCGGATTTACTGGAAACAAATGAAGGCTTACTCCATCCTTGGTAGTTTTGCTACACCCAGCAGCCACACACCTTGTCGGCATGGCCGAAAATCGGGTGTTATTTCTCCTCGATTCCGAACGAAACACCAGAAAAACTTTCAGTGCCGCAATGTATATGTACATGTATTATGATGCACGCCGCAATGCCGGTGCACCCGCAGCGCGGCAAGTCTCTGCCTCCGCTTGCGTCATACCCCTCGCGAAGTTTTATGTTAATGAAGCTTCCCTTTGTGGGGCGGAGTAGTTTGACCAAACATGTTCACAAATTATTTTCCCCCATTTATCTTAGAAAATAAACACCGCCATACACAAAATATTGTTAAGAACATCATCCTTTATTGATTTAAGCAAAAAAAATGCAATCAAAATTTTATTTCATGTTCCCTTTAAATTTTGTGAAAAGGAGGTCATGTGATCTTTAATATGTTATCGTGACCTTTGACCCAATTTATGTACTAATGTATCATTCCGAAAATCAACGAAAATAAAATGACTTGATAGAGCATGTCTTCCTCTATCAGAATCCACTAAAAATCAATTGGGGTCTTCAAAATTTACAACGTTATGACTATTTTTGTACAGTTGGTAGGTTACAAATTAGTCAGTTTATAGACTTTACATGAGAAATCCACCAACACAACTTACTATTCTGTTTCTAAAGCTACTTAAATTAATCTTGGTTTGGGAATTTCTCATGTTTAGGGCTGATGGGGTCAAACCAGACTCATAATATAAATTATCAGCAGTGGCGCACCCAGGGTTTTGCTTTTTTGTGTGTGGGGGGCGGGGGCTCATAATTTGTTTGTTTTCAAATTTCTGTAGAAGATTGAAAAACAAAAACCCACCCCGGGGTGCCACTGATAATTAGTTATCCCACGAGCGCGCTTGGAATATTTGAATATGAAACAATGCAATGCTGCTGTGACCCATATGCCACCCGACGCACTACATTATTCCGTGTTCCACGAGTGCAAGTGGGCTAACGAATTTATCTTTAGGCAAACTTGACGTCGAATGCTTGAGAGTCGATTGTCATCAGCAGTTACTGTTTAGGGTACGCAACAGCTCTATGCTTTCTACCCGGACCCAGTACAGTGGACACACATCCAGGTGAAATTTATCTCGAAGGAAAAAATTGCCAAGTCTGTGAGACTCATTCAATTTCAAGAAGCGCAGTGATGAATGAGTTAGGTAACTTTGATTGCGATGTTGAGTATTATCTTCAAGCAAACTTGAATCCTAGACCCTGATTAGTCCATCTATAGCAACAGTGTGATTTGATATAATATTGCACAGCTATATTGCACCCCAGATATCGAATGTACATGTACATGTATGTAATTGTTCTTTTTTATTTGCTGCTGAACGGTCCGATACACTATGCACCTACATCCCTCACCACGTGCAATGTACACATTCGACGTCAAGTTTGCTTGAAGATAAATGCGTTATATGGCTCGTGGAACACGGAATAATGTAGTGCATCAGGTGGCATATGGGTCACAGCAGCATTGCATTGTTTCATATTCAAATATTCCAAGCGCGCTCGTGGGATAACTAATTATCAGTGGCGGGGAGGGCCTCGAGGGGCTTGAACCCACCCTCTCCAAGGTTGTCAATTTGTTTGTTTGATTTTTTTTCAATCTTCTACAGAAATTTTACAACAAAAAGCTTTGAGCCCCCCCCCCCCCCCCCCCCCAAAAAAGCAAAATCCTGGGTGCGCCACTGCTGATAATTTATATTATGAGTCTGGTTATACCTCATCAGCCCTAAACATGAGAAATTCCCAAACCAAGATTATTTTAAATAGCTTTAGAAACAGAATAGTAAGTTGTGTGGGTGGATTTCTAATGTAAAGTCTATAAATTGACTCATTTGTAACCCACCAACTGTACAAAAATAGTCATAAAGTTGTTAATTTTGAAGACCCCAATTGATTTTTAGTAGATTCTGATAGAAGAAGACATGCTCTATCGAGTCATTTTCATTTCGTTGATTTTCGGAATGATACATTATTACATAAATTGGGTCAAAGGTCACGATAACATATTAAAGGTCACGTGACCTCCTTTTCACAAAATTTAATTTTGACAAAAGAGTTGATTTGAGCATGCAATTCTTATCATTTTGATACCAAATTTGCATATTTTCGATGAAAATTAACATGGTTTTGACATATTTCTGCCAAAAGGGTGGTATTTTACTCTAAAAATGTCCGTTTTTTGTGGTTTCTGCCCTGACCACATGGTAGGTCGGATCGGGCTAAAAATTGGTGTGCATTCATTGCTCATCAGGACCTACAAGCACAGCAATTTTTATCAAAATCGGAAGACATGAGGTAAAAAAGTGCGTTGGTCTGACATGGAATGACCCATACTTTAGACAAGTTTGGCGGAAGACTAATCTAGCAGTTGTTGTTGTTTTAATACTGCACCTCCAGTTGGAATTCCCTTGGTCTCCGGATGACAGACAGAGTTTGCTGTCCGAAACATTGAGTCCAAGCCGGTTCTTCTCAGAACCAACACAAACTCACAAAATACATTAACTTCACATGGTGTTTCTGCAAACCTACCTCGCTGTTATCCTCACCATGCAAACTTTCCATTTTTATCTAATCTAGCAGTTGCCATATTCATGTGGTGCAACGTTAATGTTAATTTGTGGCATGCATGTAATTTTTTAAAACCTGTTACCCTAGCAGTCCAGGGGAACATTGACTGCACATACTACCTGTCGGTGGGCGTGGTGACAACTCAGTAACGTCTTTATATTGTGGTCAGGGGATAAGTCAATTTAATAGAAGGGTCCACAATTTTGTGCAATATAATAGAATTTGGACAAAGATTTGAAAGGTTTGATATGGTTTCACTCCATCCGTGTACCTGTGGGGTTATAGAATCATGTAACGTAAAAACCTGTGAACTGGTGGAACGACATAACGACTAATAACAGATGCTTACTTCATTAGAAATTCAATTATTAAGACCGGTTTCAGTTCATGAAATAAAAAGAAATACTCTAGAGTTGCGTGTCAGTTCGTCAAAACCAAAATTACATGTTACTAACATTGCACGCGTAACCAAGAGAACTTGGGTACCACCGGGTCTCAGTGCGTGGTGTCAGTAACGATATAACCCCCCCCCCCCCCCCCAGCAGAGGTGAAGCATGTTTACACACAGCGAGGGTCAAAGACACTGTGCATAGTACAGCAAGCAGCGGCCATATCGTAGTGTGTCTGCACACATAGCACAATATGGGTTAACCCTCCTACATGTATGCAAACATACATTCTGAGCCAAGTAGTCCTTCAGTCAACATCAATCAAGTGACTGTCTTCAAAAGTTAAGAATTGCCAGCCTACTTTAAGCAAGATTGACTGGCCGTGACTGTTAATGTAACTCGATACAGCTTTGCTGTGGCTGTGGGTAATTAATAAGCCAGCTGTGCCCACAACTTGCCTGCATTGTGTGTTCTTTGTCTGTTGACTGAGTTTGACTAGTCACAGTGCTTGCTTGACATGATCTGACTGCTGGAGTCTAGCCTGTGTTACAAGTATAGCAGGGGAAGTGGATGGAAATTTCGACTGTCTGTGACTGTTTAAATATCAGGAGGGTTAATACAGTTTTCTGATCCATTTACATTATCCCAGGTCAGCAACAGATACATCTCTCAACTGAAAGACTCCCATGCAAGCCACCCATTCCTTAAGGATTACTTAGCCAAGGTAAGCTTTCTGATTGTTAATTTTTTTTGTTATAGGACTCTGTAAAACTTTGTTTGAATTTTTTTTCGATTTCTCTCTTTTTCTGTCTTCCTATTTTCTTTTTTACACAATTTTTTTTTTTTTTGATGCATACATCTACCTACAAAGTTGTAATAACTCTTTCAAAAACAGTAAAATGGTACATGTATTTATTGATTCACAGTTTTATCTAAATAGGTTACCATTTGTCAATAATAGCTATCATTAAGGGCCATGTAAATAAAATATAAAAGATTGCTTTACAATTAATGTGACTCCAAAATGACAGTTAAAAAAATATAATGGCACATACAAGACTAAATGTGCATGAGAAATACATAGGCCCACACACTCATGCTCGTACATGAAGCAATACATTACACTGATACAGCGTAGCCAGCTCCCCTGTTCAATCGTGTCGAATGCACGTGGTTAACTGCCCGCTACAGAAAGATTTCTCACACTGGGGGAATTCCCTAGCGTGCTGTGGTCCTAGCACAGGACCACAGCACGTGGCGGTGTTGTAAAAAACCTGTCATGAACCCAAACATTACATTAAAACGTTTTGAAAACCTTGGCTCATTTACGTTACGGACTCGATTCTTTTTGCGAGTTAAGGGTTGGAGAGTCACATCTGCTGACGCCATCCGCCGTGTTTTGGGTTCATCGCTTAATACGTCCCCTGTGCAAACGAGGAATCGTTCACTCTACCTTCTCTGGTGATTATTAATCGTCAAATTACTGATGTCCCAAGATCTACTATTTTCTTTTGTATACCTGACTTACCTGTGAAGAAATCATGCATGGCATATTGATGTGCACACGTACACTGTACGTCATCTACATGTACATATGTATGGCATATTTCTGCTTTTGTGGGAATTTGGAATGGCCGAATATTCGAATATTCGATCAAATGGAAGGTCGAATATCCGTCGAATAGTCAATTATTCAAATTGACTCAGCCCTAGTGTGAGTTTCACTCAGTGCACCACCTGAAACCGTTCTGCTTGCCTATCTGTATATGATCTGTGGTGCGCTGGTCCTCGAATGACCAATCAAGTCAAGACCAATCAAGCCAAAGAAATCAAGCCGCACGAGTAGCCTAAAGACAATTTGACTGACTCATGGCTGCACAAGAGGAGAATATAAAATGTGATTCATTTTCACATGACCGGTACCCCAGGTGCTAAGTACTGTGCAATTAAGACAGGATGACATTATACATGTGTCATTTCTTCCAACTGCAATGTGCTCCTTGCACTTGGATATTTGAAATACATGTACTCTGCTTCAAAAAGATCCGTCCGACTTCCCCTTCATTGACATCCGTTGTATGCAACTAAAAAATAAAACCACTGAAAAGAAGGGGGAAACTCAGGTTGTTTAATGGCCCCTGGGATACAGTGATGTTGATTGATAGCGTCATGATTCTGCCATATCTTTCAGGATGTGTACTGCTAAATCAGCTGTACAACTAGCGTTGATAAAACAAGAAAATCAAAACTCCTAGAAGACATTGGATACAGACTGCTGACAACAACAGTTCTGCTTCATTCCATTATTGCCAACTGTCGTACCCACGCCAACTGTCTGTGACTGAAACCTGCCCAATGAGGTCTTATGCCTATTGTAACAACCCATCCATTGTGTCCACCTGTACAAGTGAACATTGTTTTCACTGATCACGGATGCCACCTGTCCACAACTGAAACCTGCCCAATGAGGCCTTATACCTAGTGTAACAACCTATCTATTGTGTCCACCTGTATAAGTGTACATTGCTTTCACCTGTCCACAACTGAAACCTTAAACCTTATTTCTATTGTAATACGGTAACTTATCCATTGTGGTCACCTGTCCATTATTTTCAATAAATAAGGAATCCAACTGTCCACAACTGAAACCTGCCCAATGAGGCCTTATTCCTATTGTAATAACTTATCCATTGTGGCCACCTGTCTATTGTTTTCACTGATCACGGATGCCACATGTCCACAACTGAAACCTGCCCAATGAGGCCTTATTCCTAATGTAATAACTTATCCATTGTGGCCACTTGTCTATTGTTTTCACTTATCACGGATGCCACCTGTCCACAACTGAAACCTCCCCAAATGAGGCCTCTATTGCTTCAACTTATCCATGGTGGTCTCCCGTCTATTGTTTCCACTTATCAAGTTGCTACGTACATTACTGACTCCTGTCCACAGTGGTAGTATGCCTACTGTACTAACCTGTTTATTGTGGCCACATATCAATTGTTGCCACCTGCCTATTGTTACCTGCCTACTATTGTTGCCTGTCCATTATCGAAACCTACCTTGTGTGACAATATATTGTGACCTACATTGTACTGTCTATTGTGACCACCTGCCCCTTGTGGTCAATTGACACCTACCTTTTGTGGCCATAATGTCATACATGTAGATCATGATCACCCGTGCTTACTATCACCATCTGCTTGTTGTGGTCACCTCTCCATTCAAAATTCAATTAATTCTAAAGTTGTTGCCTTCACTTGCTAGGATTCACAATTCTTCGCTCACTGAAGCCACTAAGCAAATTACGGACGGCAAATTGAATTTGAAAGAACACGCAAGGGCACACAATGCGTTTGTGAGTACAACTCAGTGCCAGATTTGATTTGTAGTGTCAGTCCCCCCACTCTGTTTTAAATAACTTGAATACAAAACTCCAGCAAGCACGATTTTTACCGCGTGTAGTGTCTCTTAATGACCGCATTGAATCTTTCCCTCTAAGGTGGAATCACAGCTATTAATTAATTTAACCCTCGCTCCTTTTGTTTGATCAGTCACAGACAGTCAAAAATCAATCTTGTTTCCCTGCCACGCCTTCTACACAGGCTAGACACCAACAATCAGATCATATTTATTTTATGCACTGTTATAGTCAAATTCCATCACTGAACAGACAAAGGCAGTTGACTTGTAGGCACAGCTGGCCAATCAATCTCCTACAGAATCACAGCCAGTCAATCCTGCTTTATGAAGGCAGGGAGCACTCAACTGTTTCAAACAGTCACTTGATTTATTTTGACTGCTGGGTTGGTCTTGTAGAAATTGCCAGTCAGACAGGGAGGGTTAAGCACATTCCGTATTCATATCTAGGCACAATCTATTCATATCTAACAAGTGATAGTCAAATGATCTGAGTGATACATGAGACGGAATCTGGGAAATTTTACTCAAACGATGTTCGACCCTCCTACTGTTTTAACAGTCACAGACAGTCAACAATTTAATCCACTTCCCCTGCCATTTCTTGTACATAGGCTAGTCACCAACAGTCAGATCATATTTCAAGCAAGCACTCTGACTAGTCAAATCCAGTCAACAGACAAAAGCAGACAGCTGTCTTATCAATCACCTACAGTCAAAGCATAGCTGTATCAAGTTACATAAACAGTTACAGCCAGTCAATCCTGTTTTATGTAGGCAGGGAGCGATTAACTGTTAAAAACAGTCACATGCCTGATTTTGACTGAAAGGACAAGTTTGCAAAGAATGTATGTCTGCATAGGAGGGTTAATTACCCAAAAAACAACCTTTGCTTCTTCGCTAAGTGCTTATTACAATAACAGCCATTATGGATTGAAAAACCTGAAATAGTCCATACATGTATAACTGATTATCTAGTTTCACTGGAAGTAATTTTCTAAGGTAAACACGCATCAGCGTGTTCCAATCTGTCTAGGGAGTTAGGCCAATCACTAAGAACTCTGGATAATAGCTTGCTGTGGTTGATCATTGAACCCAAAGCAATGATTCTATCTATGAGCAAACATTTGTCAAGGTGTGACTGCTCTATGTTGCGACACACACACACCTATGTTCCGACAACTCAACCTATGTTCCGCCACCCCTATGTTCCGCTACCCCTGTGTTCCGGACTACTCAACCTATGTTCCGCCACCCCTATGTTTCGACACCCCTATGTTCCGACACCCCTATGTTCCGACAACCTGCACATAAGATTGTGTTACTCCCGGTGAGGGTTAGGGTTAGGGATAGGGATAAGAATATGTGCAGTCGGAACATAGGGGTGTCGGAACATAGGGATGTCGAAACGTAGGTTGAGTTGTCGGAACATACATGTAGGGGTGTTGGAACATAGGGGTGTCGGAATAAAGAGGTGTAACCTTGTCAAGGTATGCCAAGATGAAAGGTGGTATTGCCAATAACAATACATCTTATTCTAAGCCAGTGCTGTGCATATCAGAATAATGTAGTATTTGATTGAAAACGAATTAAACTGTTGCAAACTGCTTAGTGACTGGGACTGACCTGAAATATACAAATCAACTGAATTGGCTGGCCTGATGTTTTGGTGTTAACAAGACCTGCTTTAGAGGCAGGCCTTGTTATTAAAAATACCGAAACGTCAGGCCACCTAATTTTTTTGATTTAATATTTGATTATTAACAGTTGGATTTGATCCATTATTTGAAACATTCGAACTTTGAGGTATAAAAAAAATTATGAATATCATGTATGTATCGATAATTTGAGGGTTGCTGACTTGCTGATATTTGACGGTGTAAACTAGGGCTAAATTTTGATGATTTTTTTTCAGCAGCACAGCTTATTCCTCATTTCACACCTGTTATTAATGTACAACATCAATGCAGCCAATCACATGAAGATGGAATAGAGCATGGGATGAGGAAGGGCCGAGTTGTACTTAATGCAAATGTTATCACCACCCAACAAAGTGTGACAACAACAGTTTGGCATTCAAAACATTGCTTGGAAAAATGTTCAATACTTGGTAATACAGTTTTAAAAGAAAGCTCTTCCTTTCTTGGTTTTCACGTGTTGCAGGAAGCAGAGTTGGATCGCTTAGCAAAGCAGTATGTCTCAGCATCTGCATGAGGCGGGGAGCCAGACCGCAACCAATTCACAAACAATCACCATCTTCAAACCTGGTTTACGTGTGTGGTAACTGATTACCAGCCTTTACGATAAAGTATTTGAATTGCATTGTGCATAATAAAGAGGACAAGCTGGGAGATTTTTTTTCATTTCATCTTACTCTATACAGTTTAAAATGTTTAATTTCTTGTTTCCATGGAAAGGAACAGAAGCAAAATAAATTTGTTGCACAGCTAAATCAGTGAATTCCTCATTGTCCTCCAAAAACACACAGAGCTATTAGTTTGGTGTAATTGCAATTTTCTCTATATTTCTAAATCATGAGGGACAGTATTGCAACCTTGCAAATGTGATTCATGGAATGAAAAAATCACACAATTTAATATCTCCACATTTTGAAATTGAATTACATTGGGAAAAAATTTGCTTTGCCTCTGATAGAGCATGGTGTTTTTTTCCCATAATATCTCCCCTCTGTGCTTGAGACGTAAAGGACAAGGAGGTTTTCTTACCTCGTTTTACAAGAAATCCCGGGATCCAGACACAGCTTTGATATTATCTCTTGTCTCCAGAGGAAAAAAGCGAGTCGTCTTCAGCCTTCAGACCATAACAGAAAGGATACTTATCCTCTGTTTTTAATCCCTGTACATTCATGTGACCCGTTTTTTTCCCCTTCTCTCTGCTGGATTTCTGATAGATAAACACCTTTTAGCTCTGGGGAATCTCTGATCTCGGAGAGGTCAGAGTTTGATTTGTAGAAGTAAAACCCTCTAATAATATTCTAGTTGTGTCAGCTTGTCTGGTTATATATTATTAACAACTGTACAAGGCCGTGACAATTTGTTAACATGTATATAAGAGAAGGACCTGTTGTTTGGCCGATTTTAGAATAACAACTTGGCCACAAGATGCTATATTCTTTGATGAATTGCTGGTTTACACGGATATTTCTGCCAGGTTGGCCTATGTATAGATTCGATTTTCCTGTTGAATTTGGATTATCTTACTGTTAAATAATGTTTTAGGGGGGTTGGAACTTAAATGGTACATATCCTCTGTCAGAGTTTAAGATGCCAAGTTAAACTTAAGCTCTTATTTTAGTTGACAAGTGGTTTTATTTGTTGGTTTTTTTTACAATGGTGCAGAAACGTCGGTGTTATGGGTCTTCTTCACTGTACTTTGTTTTAGAAACAGCAATTCCCAAATTGGTTGAAAGTTCCACAAGACGAACCGATTGGAAAGTGTCACGGGGCCAATTTCAGGAAGCTTCTTATCATAGAAGTGATGCTAAGAGCATACATTAAACAATATTACTCAGTATAATTTACTTTTGAGCATCTCCGGTTCCATAAAATTAAACTCTGTTGGAAAAACGTGGACAACACTTTTCTTGTACAAATGTAGGGACTGTGTACCTGTCAGCTTTAGGCTGTAATTGTTTTACATCCCTGTCTTTGTGTAACATGAAAATAAAGCACGTACACTGTAATGGAATGCCTCAGTGAATAGCCTCATATTTTAGCGAAAACAAGCTTCAAACAACTGGAAATGTTTATTACTTTACTGGTCGCTTTTCATCAGTGCCGTGGCCTCGTGGTCCGGGGCATTGAAGTCGTGGTCTGCGGGTAAATCTTCAGGTTTTGGGTTCGAGTCCAGTCTGGGGTTATGGTGCGTGTTCCCAAGGCACCTTGTCACTCATTGCTTCTCCCCACCTAGGAGTAAATTGGGTACCTGTGAGGGCAGAGATGAATAGTGTGATTGATTTTAGCTGCTTTGCGCCGCATGGCAGCATCGAGGTGTTTACTCCCTAGGGAGCTGACACCCGTGCTGAAATGTAGACAGGGTTTTTTTTCCTCTGTGTAGCCTGGCCTACGTAATACCAAAAGTGGGTTTGGTGCGGGGGGGGGGGTCCACCATCTCCAATGGGGGCGCTGTTCATACCGAACGAATATCGGACAATAGGTGGCGCTTTCCAGGGCGGCACATTATTACCGATGTTCGCGCGAAATTCAAAAAAGAGCACTGGTAAAAAAGGGTACTTGTTTAAAAAATATACATATTTTTTTGTTTAAAAGGGGCATTTTACAAATATTAAGGGGTAGGCCTAAACGCTGTTGAAAAAAAGGGGCACTTGTATACAAAAGGGCAATCTTGACAAAATATTGGGGATTCGGGGTATACATCCCCGCCCCGCTGGCTAAATTGCTGCTCGCATGCATTTCACATTTAGAAATGACAGTGAATAGGTGATTATTTTTACGTGTTGCCTCGCCTATAATATATTGTTTTGTCTTGTTTGTCCATCTCAGTTTTAAGATTGATCCTCTTCTCTATATTTCATTATCATTATTTCGACTTATTTCGACAAAATATAATATATTAAGCGAAAACAAACACTCTTATTGGTGAGCAAAACTATTAGTCGGAATTTTTGGGTTTTTTTTATTTATGTTCTTAAATTTGTATGTACAATTGCACGGTACCCATACATACTACACAAGTGAATTTCAAGAAATCTTACAAAATATACAAATAAAAATCAAGTTCCTTTCCATTGTCTTTCTTCTAGTTAAAAAAACAAAATCGAATTTCATCAAATTCCATTAATCTTATCGTAAATAACTGTGATTTCAATTTAGAAAAATACAATTTTGATTGCACAGTGTAGCCTATACATTTATAACAGTGTATGTACAATTTCATTGACAGCTTATTCATATATGTAATATACATGAAATAACAATTTCACACAATAAGTATGTTCAAGTAAACTTTGTCGTATTTCAGACGATTTTATCCATAAAATTATAGTATACATCTATGCATGAATAGGCCTATCGTAAATTTTTGTTTTAAGATTTGTTTTCTTTCGCTACAATCGCAACCATATTAATACCCCTGCATCTATTTGCCATATATGTATTTACAAAATGAGAAACGGAACTTCAAAAAAATTCAGATCTCCAAGATATATAGATAGGTAATGTGAGCAACAACTTCTCTCGAACCATAGCATGGACCCGACCTCAATTTTGTGACTTTTTCAGTAAGAAAAAGGAAAAAAGGGGCAAAGAATGTTAGTGGAACCACTGTGGCATTACAACTTTCCCACTAAAAGTACTTCATTATAAAGAAGACAAACAAACGAAATTCTTTCGTTTTTGAAAAAAATAGCCGACCACACTAGGCGGTCTTGAAGCCATTTCCTTTATAATGTATCTGGCTATTTTTGGTATATAATGTACTCATTATAGCTCTCTGCCTCTATACAACATTCTTACTGGAGGGTAAATCAAGCTGGGATGGCTAAATATAACTTCATTAAAGAAACACATAAGCAGTGGTATTGTCCGAGGGGTCTAGTCTGCAAGGGGTTACCTTGGGGGTCCTCATTCAGAGGCGTGACTTAGTGGAGGTAGCCCCCGCGAAGACATGACCCCCCCCCCCTCAACGGAGTCCAAAGTTGAATTTGGAGGGGAAAGTGTTTTGTTTCATTTGAAACTGTCGAAACTCATTAAGTGACCCCTCCAAAAAATTGAGATCCACAAGTGTCATTTTCTTGGAGGAGGCAATTGGTTTGATCATAAACAATGTACATAGTTTTAAAATTATAACGACGGCAACACAGTGTAAGTGCGGCACACATGCCTTAACGCAAGAGAAAAAAACGTACTCGTACTCATGTCAAAGTACTCGTATACTCGTGCTCTTGCAAATGCTCTACCGCAAAAAAGGCAAAGCGCTACATGCAGGAAAAGAACCAGTTTTTCTACTGTTTTGGAGGCTTCTGCATTTGTTAAATGCCTAGTTTGATAACAGAAAGCCCTTTAAAAGCACGTGACAAGTTGAAAGTTGCTCCTAATTGTGGAAAGTACTCATGCTTGTACTCGTACTTGTAGTCGTACTTGTACTCGTACTCGTACTTGTACTCGTACTCGTACTCGAGTACATTGTCGTACTCGTACTCGTGGAGAAAAATGCCTGGTACATGCACTCGTGCTTGTACTCGTGGCAAAGTACTCGTAGTCGTACTCATGGAAAGGTACTGGACTACAACACTGCTATGCCCCATAGTAAATAAGTGCAATAATAGTACACATCTCATATAATGCATTGTAATAAAGTATTATAGAAAAACACATTATACAAAAACATATTGAGCATAATAGGATAAAAAAAAATGATTTACTACGGAAACAGAACAGAAAAATCGATACAGATCGAGACTTTCCTCATATAACTTTAATGCCTTGGTGTACGCTAGTTCTTCTGTTTAATACTGGATTACTGTGATTTGAGGTACAATCCAATATTATTTGTCGTTTGATGAGTGGCAGTATTGGCCTTAAATGCCACGGCCGAAGCCTATCTCTAGTGCCATCATGCAGAGGCAGGGAAATTAGAGTCTACCCGGGAGGAGGCCAGTCAGCGGTTTTGATTCAGACCTGTCACAATGTCTAGAACAAATTGCATTTCAATCAGTGTTTTCAGGGATACACATTTTCCGCAGCTTTGGTCTTTACGTTAACAGAATGGCATTGGTGCACCACTTGCATCCATCGATGCCAACTAACAAGCTGTGTTTTTGAGTGTAAATGGGAGGGTATTGACCGGGCTAGTTCGGCCTCTCAGTTGGGCCCCAGCATTGCTTTTCTTAACATCATTTAAAAATCAAGAAATATTAAATTTTTATTTTCTGCATCAGATTTTCAAATTTTGAAAAAGTCTTGATAATATTGGTAAGCCTGGTAGGATTTTGTTTTAAATTTTATCTACCTAAGTCTGATGACTCTGTATATAACCATAACGTTCACCATTATTTTTTTTCTTTCAAAATCCTCTTTCAAAAATTCAGTTGCTGAGATTCCTCGTAAACTGTGAAAGGATCCACGGCAGCACTTAGTTGGCTGGTATTTTTTTAATCATAAAGGATTTAATTTGCAGGAAATTGCATTATTATCAGTGTTTTCAGGGATAGGCCTATACATGTATTTGCCCCAGCTTTGGTCTTTACGGTAACAGAATAGAATGGCATTGGTGAATCACTTGAATTCAGCGATGCTTTACTAACGAGCTGTGTTTTTGAGTGTGAATGTAAGGGCATTGAACGGTCATGTTTCTCTCCAAGCAACTTAAAACTGCATGTTCAATTTTTTAACGAGATGAGTCGAATTTAGTCAGTTGGTCTACTTTGGCACCGCCACCCCTGAAATCAAACCCCACGCGCGCTGTATAGGCCCCATATTCAAGCTAACGGCAGGCGCGTGAGGTTTGCTCGGAATTTCGTGGGTGGCGCTGCCAATGTTCCCAATACTGGATTTGATTCATCTTGTTGATAGCGCCCTCAACCACTGCGGCAGCTTCACTTCGCCTGCAAGAAACTGACTGCACTAGGGGACCAATTCCGACATTCAATATTGGACCATGCACATTTTGCCGATATTCTTATAGTAAAATGATACAAAATACACCTAATTTACCATAATTATAATTACCGATAATGTGTCATTTGGGAGACAATGACATAGACTCGTGCACAATTATTTTCGAATTTTAATGACCCTCACCTCAATTTTCCCTTATCCCACCCCAGGAATTTTGGTATATTTGTTTTGGACCAGGAGCAATCGATCTAGCCTATTTGCGACATTAAAAATAAAATATTGCCTCTAAATATGAGCTGTGCCTACTATGACCAGTGTCTCCATAAGATATAGTGTATGACGACATAAAGGTATTAATATGTGTTGTTAGCAGGTCTATATACTTAAATGAGTTTTAATAATTATTGTTATTGTATCGCATGAGAATTTTGTTATGATGATAGCGGTCTATTTTGCTGAATTTGCTCCCTTCACCGTTTTGTATTTGTTATAATCAAGCACGCGCCGAGCCTTAAACGTAGGCCCGATGACCGTTTTACGAGACAGTACCTAGTCGAGACATCAATCACGAGTAAGCCCCAACACGATATTTGAAACTCTCCAAAGTAGGTCGTCCAGCGGTCGTACAATACGTCGAATATCCGCCAACTACTCGTTTTTATTGCAAGGCACGTTCCCCTACACCCGCATCAATATCTAGTACAAGTACTTTGTTTCCTGTTATTTACATCTCAAGCCACATCCTCATCAGAATTTTTGCCGCCATCAATCAATAGTTGCCTCTATAAGCAATGGAGTACCTTATAGCTGTATCTAATCGACCATGGCACCGTCTTCAATCGCATCTTAACGAGTTACGGCTCAATTATTTGGAAACCCAGCAACCACAGGCGCCAAATTGTCGGGTCATCCAAATAAAAAAATATTGTGACATAATTTCTGTGAAAAAAAATGACAAAATTACACTCATTATTATGGACTGTTGACTTTCATGATCATCGTAATTACCCTAATTTACAGTTTAACTGGAGCACAAATCAGTGAGTGTTAGCAGTAAACATGCATGTGCTGATTTGGTATTATTGAAAATACCAATATTTGTTGAGACGAATATTTCTCATCTCCCGTTTAATAACACTGCGATGACATTAGCTATTCACTGACATTATTGTTACTGACATGGACTCGCGCTTGGAAAACCAAATTAGGTTGAGACAATGCACGGGCAGCAAACCAATAATTGTTATTGTCAAAACAGCGATATAAAAACTGATGATTGTACCTCATTAATTTTGTCTGGGTTTCCGTTGATTGTCTTAATATGTGGAGAAAATGGCAATTGAATAAGGTGACTAGGTCAGCAAGAATTAAGATAACCTTGTGCAGTGCAATCCATTTTCGAATGTACTCTCTCCACGGATGCAGCCTTAAATTGGGGGCTTACCTAAATGAATTAACATGCATGGCTTAAAACTGATTGAGCCCGTCTAGGGTAGTCTTACAATATTATCGTGTTCATTTTTTCTGGCATTCCCATTGCGTATAAGTATCAGCTTTGAAGCCATTAACATGAGAATAACATAAAAATACACAAGTCTATTGGGTAAACATATCAACTGTTTCTGCAGTTTGCAACTTTTTGTCATGTTTTAAAAAATAGATATTTCGTTCGCGCAAAAGTTGCAGGATAATAATAGTGTGTAGAGCAAGGTGCAAGTCAAACATTTTGAAACTTCAATTTTGTCTTCAATTTTGATTGAACCCTTGATGATGTTACACGCAGTTTGGCTAATCGATTATCACGAATTGAACAATCGTCAAATCTCGATACAGGACCGTTTGCCATTTTCATACTTCTCGTGCTTAAAGATCTATCATTGTGTCTTCGAGCATTTGTAAAAAAAAAAAAAAAAATCGAAAGTACTTATCTGCAATAATAAATTATATGAAAAATACTCGTAAAGGTATTAGAAGATGAATGCAACACAAATTTGCAAACACCCTGTCAAAGTGCATGGCGATACACCTTTATCATGCTTCTACCGTTTCAGTCATGTTCCCTGTAATTACAGTAATGAATGATAATGCTTTTTGTCCAAAAAGGAACCAGACTATTTTTCCTTCCAGCCTCGGATTGGTTACATTGATTTGAATGGGAAACACATCAAATAGCTGCAACATGATAATGGTCTATTGCTGGATGAAAACGTACTTGACAGTCCTGACGCATGCACAGTGAGCATGAAGGTTTCGGAAACCGTCCGATGCCACGCATATTCAAGAAGTATCGAGATAATTTGATCTAAAATATCACGAAATTGTTGCAGCTGTAAGTAACGCTGTACATGTATAAGCGGGATCGTGCTGCAGCTGTCTAAATATACATTCTGACGGCGATTATTTAAAAATAGCTCCCAAAGTTTACTCGGGCATGAATACAGGAGTGGAGTAGAATTCATTAATAAAATATTTACTTGAATAGCTTTCAGCAGAAAGTAATCAGTTCTATCACTCTGAAACATTAAATGCTTGAAATTACATGTCGCCCCGTAGTTTTAATCGTCTTCAGTATAGATGTTTTGTGTTCTAATTGCTATAAGCCATTCGTACCCCATAACTCATAACACGTGTGAAAACTCACTTCACATTGTGAACACGACAGAAACATATTTCTTTTATTATAACAAATAAAAGTAAAAAAAGAACACTTTCTTTTGACACTCACCACATCATAAGTTGTAAGTTGATATAGATATTTTTCCAGATTTGAATGCAGAAACACCAGGTTTGATTGCCATTGCCCCCAAATCGTAACGTATTAACCGTACTAACAGTTTCTACTGATCACATCTCGTCGTCTTTAGTCTATTCTCCAGTCGGGGAAACGTTTCCCAAGAAGAAAATCGTTTTGCACATTAAATATGGATATTGCTGGGATATGAACGTTAAGCTCTTCAGCTTGTATAGATTTTGTGTTGTTTGATAAGGTGTAGGCCTTACTGTTTGATAAAGAAGACGTCTTTAATTATATCATGTTTGTCTCAAATTAATTTATGTAAAAAGGGCACAACGCTCACGTCAACATACATGTAGTCCTAAGTAAGAAATAGGCGCTAAAGAAATAGGCCATGTACGCGTGGGATCAAACTCGGCAGGGAAAACACACCTACACGAGCCTACATGCCCCAGTCCGTATTATTTTAATCATCCTACCTACACAACCGCACCAAAATTGGCCGTGCCCGTAGAGAAAATATGGTGGGAATCTTCGGTTTATTTTGTCAATGCGAACTGCAAGATAACTTGCCGAAATAAAGTCTTAAGATTTAGTAAAAAAGGTCAATTTTACCCCCCTCAAAAAAAAACCCAGACCCAACCCTCACACCAGGCTGGTAACGGGCCTAAAACTTGTAATCAACTATAATTATCCGTGAATCTGAGTACATTAATGACATTTAAGAAAGGCAAGTGTGAACCAAATTTACAGACAAATCTTGATCGTTGATGATGTGTGATGTGCCATCGCGCGCCGCGGCCACCGTCTATTAAAATGGAGACGACTGAAACAGACTACTTTTCCAGCTTTGTTCCTCGAGGCAGTATATACTACACTGGCCACAACCTCCTGCTAACTTATGGATTCTACGTTTGTTTTTCTTCCCGACAAGGACAACAATCTGGGAATATGCGAGTGCGTCCGCATTGATTGCCTTCGCTGCAGGCCGACCGTGACGAACGCTATATTTTCGTCGTGAATTATAGAGCAGTTGGGGACAGGATAAGTCTGAAGTCATTATTATCTAGCGGTGATTTCTGACCCGAGTCTTTGCTCATACTGGTTCCCGGAATCGCGTCGGATGGATCCGAGGTATTATCCACTGACGATTGAGGCGCTTCGGTGACATCCACAAACCTTGCTCGCAGGCCGATCTTGGATTGTGGCAACCGACCATTCTTCATGATTCCAGGGCTGGCTAGTTCCTCATCATCAGATGAGATGTCTTCAATCATTGGGAGTTGTCCCTGGGCGATCCGAGCGATGGACTTCATGTTGCCTCCAAGAGAAGCTAGCGTGTTGCTGGTCGAAGTCACCGACGCGGCGAAGATATCGGGCACGCAGTTGCGCGTACTGGTCGTGGTCTGCGTGTATGACGTCATGTAGCCGCTGTCACGTGGTATCGGCTTGAGTCTGTGCCCCATGCTCGCTGTGGGCATATCCGAAGGGATATCATCGTGTTGGAAGCCATCGGGTCCGGCGCCAGCCCCACAGCAGCAGCGCGGGCAATAGCGGCATTTGAGAACCTCCAGGAACACGTGGCGAAACTTACGGTTCAATATGCCGTATATGAGAGGATTAGCTGCCGAGTTTACAAACGAAAGCATTGAGGTGACACCGAGGGCCACTGTGAGGTTGAATGAACCTTCAAAGGCATAGGCAAGGTGCACAACATTGTAAGGTGTGACGCACAGTATGAACACACCCATTACTGTGAATAAAGTCATGGCTGCTTTCTTCTCTTTCCTCATGACCAGACGAGGGCGTTTGTCTGGCCGGCCCGGCCTTAGTCTCGAGTTCAGCCCCAACCCAGTGGAGCCCCGCCCATCGACTGACGTCACCTCCAGTGACATCACTCGTCTGGACTGGTGCCGGGCCACCTTGAATATGTTATAATAGCAGAATACCAGGACGGAGAATGGCAAGAGAAACGATATACTGAGGTAGAAACACGCGTAGGGTTTGTATTCAATCCAATTGGCGATGCATATGCCGTTCCACGGGCTGAAACCGTAGCGGGACCAGCCCATTATCGGTAGCAATGCCATCAGGATGGATACCAGCCAAATGAGACAGATGAAGAACGCTGCTCGCGCGGTGGTTATAATAGACGTGTACTTCAACGGCTTCAGTATAGCTACATATCTGTAAACATGCAAAAGGAAAATGAGATTTAATCAGAAGTGTTGAAAAAAACCCCAGGTCTATTATTATTTTATAGCCTTTAAAATGAATGTAACATCAACCCCCATACTGGCAGTAAAGCTTGGCTGAAGCCTAGGGCCAATACATAACAATTATGTTTAATGCCAACATCTATTTTTGTAATATGTCTTCAAGCGTTACGTCTAATTCTACCTCAAGAAAAAGACCATTTCTACGGTTGATGTCAGCAGTTCAGTGTTTACCGAACACTCAACAACTGAACGGGACACGAAAGGACTGCGTCACGATTTTAACAAATGCTATCATCTCCCCTGGATACGAATGGTGGTCATGGTTTCATGCGAGGCAAAAAAAACGCTGTTTGTTGTCATGGATTCTAAATGAAACCCCACAGGTGATTTAGCACGGCACCAAAGGGCAACCACACGGCATGTTGTTTTCTACCGAGAACAAACAGCGACACTGCCGAGATTTGCAGTTTCCAAGTGGGTGATTAAGGAGTCATCAGACCCGCTACAACGACTGCGTTTGCCGCTCCTTCCGCTAAATGTTACCCAGGTCAAATCCGTATTTCCATCATGTTCTCTTGCCTGTCGGTAATGTTTTATTTTCTCGTCTCTTCGTGCTCTTGGCAATTGTGGGCCTCGATAGTAAAGGGAGACTGTCTGCCGTTAACTGGTGGGTCTAGTGGGGGGCCTCGCAAACAGATCCCCCTAAAGGCCCTTTTTAAAAGAGAGTACGCAAACGACTTTTTAAAGGCTGATTCTGTGTTTTATTGATCCATGGGGGGGGGGGCGGGTGTGTCCCCCTCACAGCGGATCCCCCCCCCCCCCACATACACACACACGTGTGCCCATCCGCCCCGCCCCCCCCCTCCCGTTTAAAATCTTGAATCGATGCCTCTCGTTTAAAATCTTGAATAAAAACAATGAACTGTTGATAACTCGGGCCGGGTTTAATTAACTTGGGGCGTAACTAGGGTTTAACCTGGGGGAGGGCATCTGGGGGTGCATTTTGTCAAGGGGCACCCCTTGACAAAATGCACTTCCAGGAACCCCCCCCCCCCCCCCAAAAAAAAAATTAAACCCTAGTTACGCCACTGATACTAAAGTTTATTAAATTGTAGGGTTTTGTCCCTGAAAAAAAAAAACACCTGAAAGCAACAAAATAGAGAAGAAAAATATCTCAAGATACAAGAAAATATTTGCAATGATAGTCCGTATACCGAGTTTAACTATACTGTGTTGGGCTGCCGTATTATCATGTGCCCTCGCTGAGGCCTCGAAGACACATTTCATGTATCATTGCTATAAAGCGGCTTTCGTGTTTATTGGCCAGTTGCTCAAGCAAATGTGCTTTTATAAATAAATCTGCCTTGTGTGTTTATGTATGTGCGTTCATTGTTCACTTGAGCGAAGTTCCCCGCCTAACGGGCGAATCAGTGAAGACGCCCCGTTGATTGCATTATTTTATGAACCTCCTCTTGGCATGTCAACCACGTATAGTAGATCTATATGAATCCACATCTACGTGTCACAGTTTGCACTTTTCATTTAGCCAAAGCGAAACCACGATGGCTTGGTTACCCATCCCGCGGGATAATTAGTTTGTCTATACGGTAACCTGCGGGTTCTTAATTAAGAGCATGAAAGATTCACTCAGCAACCCTCAAATGGGCGAAATGAGATTCTCACGCGACGAAGACGACACTGCACTCTTTGATGTTGTTGTCTCTTTTTCATTCCCGTTTTGGGGACTTTTGCCGAGTATAGGCCTAGTGGATTGTACTTCAGAAAGTGCAGTTTACTTCTCTTTGGAAGGCTCACCATTTTGAAAATTGCATTTGTTTTAGGTTAGGGTATTCTTTTCCATTAGTATGTCTTAAATTTTCTCAAAAATATCCCACAATTAGGAAAATGAATACAAATTGATGTATTCATGATGATGCAATAAGTGCCCTGTTTTCCCTACAAGCGCGCAAGTATGCTGACATCGTTTACAACCGGTACCTAATCGAGGCTATTATTTTTCTTCAGATATCATTCACTATAGTTTTCGATTAAAAAAATACAATATATTTGACAGAAAAGGTAGATTGTGCAGAGATGGGTAGTTCTCAAATATGTATGAAAAAAAGATTCACTTAGATTCTAAGTGACGTGGAAGCCTTTGTTTTGCTAATGATGTGCTCGTTGCAGTTGCTTCAATTAAAAAAAAAAAAAGACTTTGGTTTGGTAAGCATATCCCTCAATAATTACGACATCAACATTACATCTGAATGCTTGTGGGGAAAGCATTAAAAAGCCGAATGTCTATACAAGTGACGTCATTGAAGCCTTTGTTTTGCTAATGATGTGCTGATTATAGTTGCTTCAATTTAAAACAAAATACTGTGGTTTGTTAGGCCCATATATATTTTATGCATAGTCCCATACATTACATCAAAATGCGAATGAGGAAAGCAAAGTCATTGACCGAAACTCTACGTAGGGCATCATGGAAACCTTTTTGGGTAGCAAAATAGTGACTTGCTGTTTAGTTGCTTCAGTTTGTCATAAAAATGAAAACCATAAATTATCCTCTTCTCAGGTATGATTCTGTAATGGCCATATTCTGCTGTTTTTCGCATACAACTGTTCCCCTAGACTTTGTTTATCAATAAGCTGATGTTTACTTTCCCATATCTCCAAAGAGTTGAAATTTACGCTATTCCGACACAAAGACAATGCCAACAACTGAAACTATAGGGACGCACTTCTTAGTGAAGTTTTTAGTGAAGTTCATTCAAACAAGTATGGTGTTTCACTCCAGGTTCCATGGGTTTTTTTTCAGAGTATTTCAATCTGAAACTGATTTTTACTTTAAATAGCTAGTCCCTAATTTCACTCTTTGGAATTTGGACAGAAGTCAATATTTAGAGGTGACAAACATCCCCTCCTGAGCAGAAAATGTAGATTAATCTGAATACTAACATTACAGACATTAATTAATAGCATTAATTATTTCTACCAGTGCTGTAGACACGGTTTTTGTAATTTTAAATACAATGTTTTAGCCGAATACATGTATTCCTACACTTCACCAGAGTTGATGAGAATATTAATGTAACTCAATACTTGGTCGACAAGGTTTAATTATTGATCCGCCCGTCGGAAGTATAAAGCTGGCTGCCGAGATGGTTTGCAGTCAATTTAGCCGAACGGCTCTGGTTTCGCCATTTCAGAGAGGGTTTCCGATATACGATGACCCTTTTAACTCTGAAATCTTGCCATCGGAAATGAACGCGTACTGCAAGATCATTTAGAAGGTTTATTGAGACAAAAACAAAAATGAAAAGACACTTTCGCGACAGTGTCCTTTCGGGCTCTAAAACGCGACTACAAAATGATAATATCTGGAAAGATCGTTAAAAATATTAACGTTCAACATAGAAAGAAAATTGTGTGTAATTTCTGCGCAAAGAAATTTTGTGGTAGAAAATGTGGTCCTCAGAAATCGAGCAGTTGGAGTGCGGCTAATCTTCATTCAAGTCATGTAAGTTTCTTTTTCACAAATGTTCTTCAAAGTAACGTAGGCCCTATATAGGTTCGCCGTGTGTATACATAATATTTGTGAAGCTAGAATGCGACCTCATATATATTATAGTGAATTGTCGTCATATGAAGTTTATACGGCGCAAATCATTGTTGGATGTTTGACTCATAATTTGATGCTTGACAAACGTATAGACAAGGTACAAGACGGTTGCCTTGTCACATGTATCAAACAAACGAGGTTTTGCAACGTTTTCTCCCTTAATCTAAGACATTATTTTGATTTCTTGAGACAAAGACCTTTAAAATGAAGCAAACGATTTAATGTTGACCAAATCCGGATGAATGAGGATGAATAAAGTTCGGTTGTTGGCTTTTGATGATGAATATATGGCACCATTGCTATATATATTGTATATATATATTTTCGCGCAATCGTTTTAAATTTAAAAAATGTCGCGCTAATTTCTAACGAACTTTTACATCAAAGGCACATAATAGGATCATTTGCATTTATCCCAAAAGTATATTAATCTACCGAATTGTTATCAAAAAGTTTACGTGGATTGAAGCTCGTACTGGTACTAAACACCCTGTGAAATTATTCCATCTGGCTTGCTGTACAGTATGGCATTTAGAAGAATTTAAGAACTGTATATAGGCCTATAGGTGATTTCCAACAATCAACTAATTGGCTGATTTTTGGAAACAAAGAGGTTGTGCATGGTTTTTCACTGCTTTTTGAAAAATGTAATATCCACTGGGCTCCAACCTCAACAGGTTAGGTACTGAAAATTCTTCTTTGGAAAGTGAGAGGTGTTATTACTGGAAATGAATAAAATGCATGAAAAGCAAATGATCCTATTATATGGCTTTAAGAGTAAATTTGCATACAAATCTCCCTTTTTTGACGGGCAGAACACACTGTCCGAAATTTTGAGTTCCTCTGGTTCTCAAACTCTTAAAGGAGAGACTTAACACAGTCTTTAGTGCAACTGTCATCTAACTGAACTTTGTATTGCAAAGGTGATGGCCAGGGACTGCATGGCAAAGTTTTAATATAAATTGGAACATTAAAAGCAAAAGCGTTACATTGGCTTCAGCTGTTCGTTCGTCAGGTTGGGAGATCTGACCCACCGTGCCCTCTGGAGACATGCACAAAATAGGGAACAAAAGATTGTATACGTCTTCACATAGATTAATACGTCTCCACAAGATTTCACGAAATAGATATTATGGATTTTACTAAAAAAAAAAATCTAGGAATTTCCAAGGTGGGTTGATCTGTCGCAATAGAAGAGTTTCAGAAAAGGGATATTAACTCTGAATTTCACCCAAGGAAATTAATTTTGGTCAAAATAAGAGCATTTTGAAACTACACTTTCAGACTCGAAAACTTTACTACACGAGAACAAAGAAATGTCTCCACAAGGATACAAATTTCAGTATGTTTGCTCTGAAAACAAAAGCTGTGTATGTATTTAGGGAGATTATGAAGTACACCGAATTGTGAGTAGCGAGATCTATCAACAGTGAGCTTGTTTTTGTTTCATTTGCTGGGTGTCGCTCGTGTCATATTGGTGGCTCGATCGGAACTTAATTTGATTCTCCCAAATTGCAGTTGCAGGTACGCAGGCACAGCGATCCTCAGTGTGTTTTGTGCATGGAGAGCCTTTTTTTTCGTACGACGATATATTTTTGACAAAATATCCCGAGACCCGAGAGCGAAGTATAGATGGAGAGTGGGCTGGCGGCATATCCAGCCGGGGGGGGGAGGCAAACATTTTATTTCCATCTCGGTAAAGTAACTGACCGTAATGCGCATGCGTGAAGCATAACACGTTAACGAATACAATAAACTCCTGATTCGGAATAAGTTAGCTTACTTATATTACAGGGCAGTCAGTGCGGTTTCGCTATAGCGTGCTGTGTTGAATCTGCGGTTTTGAAATGCTGCAGGTTATGGGTTCGAATCGGAGATGGATTTTTCATATTCATTTTTCCCCCCAAAAGTTAATTTTCTTCCCAACATTGTGTTCAATCAGGTCCTGATGATCGATAATTAATAACACTTAGCCTTTTCTTCTCATTGGGCTCTGGAGGTTTTTTTAAGGGATGTTAAGTCTGAGAACCATTTCATTACCAACTGACGCATGCGCATTATGGTCATTGACTATACTTGGTTGCAGAAGATGTAATTGCAGCCGAAGGATCCAACTCCCCGGGCGCCATTTTCTCAGTACAGTAGAAATACATCCCATCCCTTTTGACCATTCACTTTTACGGACAACAAGCAATTTGACAATTTCTCTTTTTGTGAAAACACATTAGCCATTGTAGCACCCCCCGCGACCCTAAATCCGGGATGCAACACTGCAATCCATACACTGCAATCCATTCACTGCAATCCATTCTGTATCAATCTCCAAATGGACGTATTCAGTGGCGTACGTGACAAACGTTACAAATTGCTAAGGCGGGACCTATGTGCAATAGTTGGGTTTGGTCGTCCTTTCAAACAGTACCCAGCAAGCTGGGGTTTTTCTTCAAATTTTGAGCGTGGAACTCTCTAATGATCCCCGAAATTGAGATAAGTTCAATGGAAGTTTCCGATAATGACAACTATTGTTATTATATTAGAATCAAAGGTGTCAGACCCATCATATTTCTCGTAGCTTCTTTTAATATACACATGCACACAAACTTTCTGATCAGTGTATAGAAAGTTTAACTCAATGACAAAAAAAATGTTCGAAACATGTGATGTGAATTTAATACTTGGGCCCCAACTTGGCAAATGTAACTGTTGCTTACAGTGTCTCCCTGTAACTATAGAGGTTAATGTAATTATAAACAAGTCCTTGATATGGGCATAGGTCGTATGCAACACCCCGAGGTTTCTTTCAAGCTTCCCAGTAAATTATGTGATACACTGAAAAACTCGGGTCGCAAACACCGTGCGGTCGATATACATAATAACACCATGCAAATTTAATAAAACCAGCTCGCCTTTTTTAAGGGAAGTCCAGTAAAACAAAGTACCGGAGACAAATCGAAGACTAAATTTAATTACCTAGGGTGCATTCTGTATTAGACGTAGCCGGTTCCTAGGTCTGAACTACCTATATCTAAATTTAAAGGGAAGATACAACATTTGCAAACATCAAAAAACGAAATTATCAAATTATCACAAAATATCTTACTTGATTGTTAGGGAATGCAGTCTAAAGCATCCTGTAAAGTTGTGGCTCCCGGTGTGCTGACATTTTCAAGAAAATTTTTATTTTTCCAATGCTGGTCGGCCGACCACCGTCGGAGAAAACTGGCTTTTTTCAAAAAGTGCTCCTAGTTTTTCATATTTAGTTCGTCTGCATTTTCTTTGCAATTGATTGCACACCTATGAAGACTACAAGCCTGCTAGACGGATTCTCTGATCGTACAATTCCCCAAAGTCTATAAATTGCTCCGTTTCATCTTAAGTGGGGTCAGGGAACCAGACTACAAGAATATGATTGGTTTTCTTGGTTTTTCCAGCATCTACGCATCCAAAACGTGAAACAAGTCAGTGGAACAATATTTGCTATAGCCTAACATACTAATTCTCCAGATCCATTTATTTCTGAAAATTGCAGCAAAAGCAAATGTTGTACATTCCCTTTAAATTACGTGTGAGGTTTATATTCAAATTCAAAACTTTCAGCAGCTTCTTCTCTCAAGGAAAAACAAACACAAGGAAAAGCCTTCTTCACGGGGTCACCTCTTTAAAGTAATGCTCTGTTCGACGGCATTAACTCCCTCAATGCACAGTGTGTGTTGCACGCTCTCTCGACACGGCGTTAAGTCTTAACATCCGGCGCCATGGTAATTTCTCTCTGAGAAGTTTTCCCTCCTCCGCCGAGGATGAGATTACAGATTATAACGAGTAGATGATGAGTTTATAAATACCAAAGGGAGCACGGAGTACTTCACTTATATAAGGACGGTTCACGGAACTCGCGAACCGGATAGCACCGGAAACGGTACAATGATGATTTACTGGGGACAAGGAGAGGTTCATTGCAGGCGCGTTATCAAGAGGACCCTCTTGAAAAAATTTAACCGGATGACGAAAAAGGATCAGAAGGTCTGAGCGAAATATAATCTTCCTATATGTGGTGTCTGTAGGTTTGTCTTGACATTACCAGTTTTGCTGTATTACACGTATCTATTACACTTTCGCGGTAACATGAACCTGTCATAATATTTCAAGGGTAATGGGACATAATGACATTGGGCCCACTCTAATTCTCGCATCTCCGATCCGTACCGAGAAACACATTAATTTGTAATCCTGATCCATATTTTAGCGAGTATGACGAAATCAACCATTTAAATTGTTACCCAGGTTTCCAAAAAAAACTCATTGGCGAAGTAACGGGTTCATGACTTGTGGTATAATGCTTTTAAAAAGACGTTCAGTGCACAAGCAGGCCAAATTTGAAACAATAAGCCAGTTAGGTTTTTCATCTGTGCATGCGAGCAACAAGATTGGACGAGATCAAAGAGACGGTCGCACCTATGAGGTGGGCTACATTTAAGATCTGGGATAAAGTATACGTGGGGGGCACATTAAGTTATACAGGGTGAGTCCAAAACACGAAACCCAAATGTTGGGACCGTTGTTTTAGTGAAGTTCTGCATGTAGCACTTTCAAAATCTAGAATGTAAAAGTCCCATTCATAAGCTTTCTTTTAGTACAGGAATCATTCAAATCACTTATGTAATTGTCAAGTTACGGAATTGTACACACAACCACCATTTTAAAGTTCTGTCCATGGATCACAAAAAGGTAAGTGTTCTTTCAGCAAAACAAAAACAAATCACATAGGATGCGTGTGAATTGTTTTCGTGTTGCTGAAAGAAAGCACACTTTTTTGTGATCCGTGGACAGAACTTTAAAACGGTGGTTGTGTTTAAAATTCCGTAACTTGAAAAGTACACAAGTGATTTGAATGATTCTCATACTAAAAGAAAGCTTATAAATTGGGCTTTCATATCCTAGATTTTGAAAGTGCTTTTACATGCAGAACTTCAACAAAACAATAGTCCCGTCATTTGGGTTTCGGGATTTTTTTTACTCACCCTGTAGAGTTGGTCTACATTTTTGTTCAGCGCTACATTTCAGTTCAGGGTTGTTGCTACAACATTTAGGTCCCAGGCAACATTTATTTACGAGTTAGTGCAAAACTGAGGTAAAGGCTGTACATTGAAGTTCCGGTCTACAAAAATTAAGGGAAATTTTTTTAGCCACATGCAGATCTCGGGTACATAAATTATACGTATACCAGGGATGTGGCTACATTTAGATCCGAGTTCACATTTATTTACAGCATTGGTGTTTAAACACTTAGGTCTCGGACTCCCTTTTAGTTACAGGGTTGGTGCTGTATTCGGGTTACTGGATACAGTATGGGTAGCAATGGAGTCTTATGAATGAAGTATTAGAAAACATTTAGGGACCGCACATCTGTCATAGAATTTGTGATTTTATTGAATGTGGGTGCCAGACCCGAGCGACGCTAATGTATTCAAATGCAGACACTTCTGAGCATGGCTTTTGTGCATCGACACGTCTATAAGCATGGTCTTATCCCACTCGCAAACCTTGACTTTGACTTTGACTTTGCCAAGAAGTCGTCACAGACAATTTGTCATGAGGTGCTTAGTACACTCTTAACTGTCCCTAGTCAGATTGAATCTTTCCAAGTGAGAATGACACTTTTGCTAAGGTTTCCGGGTCAAATGACCCGGAAAATGAGTCAGAGAGTTGTCGTTTTGACCCAGAATGTGTCCATTTTCACCCTGTAGGATAAAGTTTCAGGCCAATTATATCCCGGATGCCGGGCAAATCTGACCAGGCACCTTTCAGAATGGAAGTACAGCTCTTTCCTTACCTGTCGATAGAGACGGCAGCAAGTGTCATCACGCTGGCCGTACCAAACAGCGTGTACCAAAGCCCACTCAGGGAACACACCACATCGCCCAAGGCCCACTCGCCGCCAAATATAGAGGCGAAGATGACTATGGGAAGGACGAGTATGCCTCGAAATAAGTCAGCCAGGGCCAAGGAGGTGATGCACATACCGGTCACTGTGGTGATACTGCGGGTACGATGCACTACGTAACACACCTGGATGGGGTGAAGAAAAGGGTAAAACATTGTTATGGTTTGAGCGTTTTTGTGGTGCACAGCGAGCTCGTTCCCAGTGTCTCATTTCAACCGCTGTGACAAAACCTCCCCAAGTATTTGCATGATTTCCTGTAGACTCCATAGAAATTAATAACAAATAATGATACCACCCCCCCCCCTGCTCTGACCCCCAAAACAAAATAGTACGGACAGAGCCTGCTGGGTTTAGGGGGGTATCTATACACTATCCTGTAATATAGTGTTATTAATCGTCGCGTTTGAACAGCGCCCCCATTAAAATTATGGTACAGCCCCCCCCCCCCCCCCGCCAACCCACCCACCTATTGGTTTTACGGAACCAAATGTCCGGGCAAAAAATCCCGTCTACAGTCAATGTTTTGCTGATAACCCCCCCCCCCCCCTTGCAAACATTCATGGATCAGCCCCTGAAAGTGTGGAAACGTTTGATAGACACAGTGTTAAATAACAGTGTAAAAAAGAGGGCTATATTCCCCTGAAAGGTCAAAAATGCAATCAGTTGGTCTGGATTTGTTATGTCCATATTCCCTACCAACGGCTTTATTCCTACATTGCGGCCTTCGTGAATCCAAAAGGTCACCTAATCCCTGCACTTCCTTGTTATTTCCGGAATTATAACCGCTGAAATTGTGATTTCTGCCCAACTTTGTCACTCCGATGCACAACATAGTCAAACGTAGGATTCCGTACGTTGACTTCATGCTTCACCTTCGTGCTTAAATTGTTCATTCAACTTCCAGTGAGTAGATTCTGTGCCGGGCATCAGAATCCCTGAAGACAGGAAAACCTGCACTCAAATCACAAAGCATTACATCTTCTGGAGCGAATGGATCGAGTGGGAGATTGGAGGGGGAGTGACTGGCTGTCTCTATCAATTCTTTGCTCTCTCGATCCAACGGAGTTTATGGTCAAGGGACACGCGGGATACTGACCTGTCAAGTATCCCAGACAGTGCGATAGCAGAGGTCTTCGTGGTCATTTGTTATTACACTGGTCACCTAAGCCACCTAATCGCTTTTGACGTGGCTTGTCACAGTTAGCTTTGGTTTTATGTTAATTGTCACTTTGTAGGATACACATTTGCATATGGAAAGCGTACCAAGCGAAACCATTCCGACGCCATTCAAAAGTTATGTGCATTCGGAGACTGGGAGTGCATGCAGTGATGAGTGTTTACAGAATAATTGGATCCTTTGTATTGTAGGTCTTGTAATGTTCTAATTACCCATTAAGGCCCCGCTAATCTTCATTATTTACAAGATTGTACACATTGCAGAGAATAACAGCAATTGACACAAAGGTTCTAATTTCATTATTTTCTTTCACGTTAGCAATTTATTGCAAAATAAACGAAGGCCTATTTCGAGGGTTTTTTTCCAAAAAGGATGACCAAGATTTTTTTTTTTACATACAACCACAACGTACCGAGAAGTCTTGATTGGCTCCTATTAGTTATCTACATTGTGCCGCATTTCAGCGATATCATTCCACTGACAGAGAGGCTATCTCTCAAACAAACGCTGTTATCGTAATGACGCAAGTGATGCGATATATGATGAAAGGCTTGATATGCACAAGTGGATCTGAATAGGAAATTTATGGGGAGAAAATGTGCATACACTACAAAAATAAAATATTTGCTTTAAAGTTAACAGTGGATTTGCATGCTTTTGGAAGGAGTCTGATCAAGGGAAAATCATCAGGGTTATTTTTTTTTTCAAAATTATAATGACGATTCCCTTGCAAGTCGTCTAATGACTTAGGCTAAATTGCTTTTTTTATACCTGAAAAAATACAATGATGATATTTCTTTAACATCTGCAACACCAGAAAGAATTAAGTTTAACGAACAAATTCAATCACAAACGTTTGTCGATGTTATATCTAATATCTGAAGTCTAATATCTAAATATAATATATGTTCAATGATTAAATCTTGATTTTCAATTCCCACTCTTTGGTAATCTATCGTTTCTTAAAATGGCGTAATGAAAATGTATAGCCTTTACAAGAAAATGGGATTTAACGAACAATCAAAAAGAAAGTTAATGCCTTAATTTCCAAACTAGTTAATTATAAATTTTAGCAATCTGATCAGGAAAGTCACAGCCCCTAGACAAGTGCCACTTGGGATTTTCTTCAGATAATTTGTGTGATTTGGTTGATAGTGTGCAAGTTTAAATCAACACGGATTGGTCCTAGAAGCTTTTTAAAAAAGATTCTCAGAATGCTTGCTTCCAAGAAGACAAACGCACTGTGAATCTAATGGCAATCATCCGATGGTCAATTTGGTTGTCCGTCGTTTTCCTTACTTCCATTGTTAAACAAGAAGTGGATGCGATGTCTTCTATGGAGAATTGTGTCCATTACAACTAAAAACCACTCAGAATGCAAAAACCTTTTGACGAAGGCATTCAAATGTTGAGCACACTTAAATTACCGATTTTGTGATAACAATAAATTGTGTTACACTACTGTTGATAAGAATGAAAGACAGCGTTAACAGCAATTGAGAACTGTGGTCGTGCAAACTACTTTTTGTGAGCATGTGTTGAGGACAGTGCCAAGTGTATCCTAGAACCAGGCTTACGGCAACTGACATAGTAGACGCCCACAGATATATGTGCTATTTGCAATCTCATTGTAATATGTCAAAAATACCCGTTACACTTCTGTTTCAAATATCTCCTGACAAATCACACCACCCCGCCCTTGCTACACCTAGGCCTAATCCAGATTTTATTCGCTCACGCTCCAGTAAGTAATCCAATATTTGCTGGCGCCACATTTTCACCTTTTCAAAATTGTCAATTGGACTGGAATACCCTGATTTCTTCCAACGATAAATTAAAAAAAGAATCACCCAGTTAACAAGCATTTCGGCTTCTGTATACAACATTTGATGATAGCTTAATTTGGTAAAATAAATAAACACAATTAAAACAGAGACACTTAATAGGAAAGGTGCAGAAGCAATGAAATTCGCAGTATTTGCACCTGATAAAAATATCGGCTGATTATAATAACTTTCGTCCCTTCGATAAATTATGAGCCCATTGATCCTCCTTAAAAAGGGAAGCAAAAAAAAATCACCGAAGCAGACGATGGACTGATTCTGTTTTAAACCCCTGAGAGTTATCGCCATTTTGATCACGCGTCCTCGAATAATACAGCAATTTAATCTGCGGCCGGGATGAGGGGGAAAACCAGCCACTAACTGATGTCTATACCTGAAATGGACGACACACAATACACAAGAAGATGAAAAGGCTGGCAGTTTTTTTTTTGTAATCTAAAACATGCATTTTCAGCTCCCTCCTGCAAGGTGGAACTTTCATAATCAGATTGGTTTTTTTTTATTAGTTCAGCATCTCTAAAAATGATGCGCTTGCGTATGCATTTACAACGAACCCGTTAATATAAATATCATTATTAAAAGAAAAATGCGTGGACGCAAAACAAGATTCAAAACAAAATTACTGAATGGGGTGGCCTTCGAAAAGCGAGATCTTTTCTTCTTTGTATGCTTCGGATGCTCTAATTGGATAACCCAGCAAGAAATTTTGACTTTGGGTATTGAGGTGTTTTAGAACAGCACTATGAGGATGGAGACGCGAAGTGAAAAAAATCTCATTAGACAAATGGCTACCATGTTCGTAATTGCATAAAAGGGAGCATTTGTCGTGTACACCCAGTCACGTGTAGTTAAATTGACTAGATGTGGCTCTTTCAACGTAGACAAGTACTGCACCACAGCATTAAAAAAAAAAAACACGGAACTGTCCTTCGAGGAGGATTCAGGTGCAAAGGATTGCCTACATATTCCACTTTACCAAATATTGAGTCCGAGTCACCTCTCCCTAGTCCGAGTCCCGAGTTATGAAGGTCGAGTCCGAGTCGCGAGTGATGAGTCACAAAGGTCGAGTCCGAGTCGATCACGAGTCAACTTAAAGTATTTGAATGAAATCTTGAGCTGAACGCGCACTGACTGTACCGCTTGCTGAGGAAAGGATTGTCTTAAAAATAATTTGTACTATGGTGTTGAAAAAAAAGTAATTTGCGGTAATTTTGGTCGAGCCCCGAGTCACGCAGGTCGAGTCCGAGTCCAAGTCCGAGTCCGCAGGGTCGAGTCCGAGTTATTTGTCATCGTGACTCGAGTCCGAGTCCGAGTCAGAGAAATGGGACTCGAGTCGGACTCGAGTCCGAGTCCCAGTCAACGAGTCATATACAACTCAGTTGTATTCGGACATTGACCAGAAGTCGTCACAGGCAATTTCTCATGAGGTGCTCTAATAGTACACTCTAAAAATTCCCTAGTCAGATTGAATCCGAGTTCTATTCTATTCATATTAGCGGGTTCGTTTTCTGAATGCATACGCATGCACATTCTTTTTAGAGATGCTGAAATAAAAAAAAAATCTGATTATGAAATTTCGTTCCACCCTGCAGGAGGGAAATAAAAATGCATATTAGATTAAAAACAAATCTACCAGCCTTTTCATCTTCTTGTGAATTGTTTGTCGATATTTGTCCGGTAGCTGACGGAGATTGCAAAGCTCATTGTTGACGTCCTACTCCCACGAAATGGGCCAGGGACTTTTCAGTTTTATATGCACTACATAGGAAGCGGCACTTTATCTATCCTCTATCTATAGGCTAAAGGAGAAGTGTGTTTATATTTCCCAATAACTTCCATGATGCAAGGTGTTTTTAAGGGGCGGTACCTCAAGAGTACTTTGTCGGCGTGGGACTTAATTTGTTGGATTAGGTCACATTTAGTGCTTTCTGAATCGGAAGTTAAAATAACGGTAGCAGTGAAGAATTGCAGGCTACGTTTTCGAAACGTTGGCTTCGTCTCCAGCTTTGGCTACAAGAGCTATAACGTCAAACACGAGGGGCGCTACCTCAATATGAGTCCATTTTCTGCGTAAGGAAATTGAATGCGATAACTTGATACCTAA